AGGTGGCTGTTCCTAAAAAACGTTTTACATCTTTTTTTGAAGATGGTGTTGGATACTCTAAAATAGCTTTTACCTTTTCAGGGTCTGTTCTGAGACCCTGGGCGTCTATTACGTAGCCCAAATATTTCAGACGAGACCGAAAAAATTGGCTTTTTTCAAAGTTTATTGTTAAATTTGCTTCCTTTAACTTATTTATTACACGTAATAATAAAGAAACGTGTTCATCGAATGTGTTAGAAATAATAATTATATCATCGAGGTATGCAAATACCTTAAGATCAAATGAACCAAATAATAAGTCTACAAGCCTTTGTTGGGTTGCAGGTGCATTGGTAAGGCCGAAAGCCATCCTCTTAAAACAAAAGGTCCCACGACCTTGGACATAAAAGGCAGTTTTTTCGCGATCGCGTTCTGAAATTAAAATTTGCCAGAATGCTTTAGAAAGGTCTATACTAGATATAAATTTTGCGTCTCGCAGATTATCTAGAATTTCGGAAACATATGGCAAGGAATAAGCGTCGCGTTTGGTTACAGAATTTAACTTGCGACTGTCTAAGCAAATGCGCGGTTGGTCGTTTTTTTTTGTAACAATTAAGATTGGAGAGGACCAAGAGCTCTCACAAGGCTGAATTACGTCCAATGAAAGCATCTCGTCAACTTGCTGGCATAAAATTTGCTGCTTTACAGGGGACATTCGATAATAACGCTGACGTATAGGTTTCGTGTCACCCGTATCAATAGAATGACATACAAGAGAAGTACAACCTAAGCCCTTGCGTTCGGAAGAAACGTCCTTAAATTGTTCAATTATGTCGTCAGCAATCAAGCGTTGGTTGGCATTAAGCGATGCGTATGAATGTATATGAGATTTTAATATTGATTCATTCGTGTTTGAATAATAATCGGTGAGTTCTCTTTTATATTCAATGCAGTTGATGTATTTTGGACATATGTTAAATTTTTTCCAGAAATCAATACCTAATATAAGAGAGGTCTCTATTTCAGGAACTACAAATGTCTTCAAAGTATAATAATTGTTTTCAAAATTAAATGGGAGATTAATATATCCTAAGCAATTAAGTTTTTGTCCACCGGCTGCTGTTATAGAGACTATTTCATCAGTGCGCACAGCAAATCCTTCATCTATCAGTAAGTTGTGTGCATTATTGCCTAGTAAGGTGACGGCTGAGCCAGAATCTAATAACCCCCAAAATTTTGTGTTTCCTATTTTGACTGATAAATAAGGTCGCACGTCGTTAGGTGGTTTATTAAGTAGAATTGTAGCAACTGTATAGCTATTAAAAAAATTATTAATAAACTTCAACCACTGTTTCCAATCGGTATTATTAGAGTGGTTGAGGAGGTTGCTACAATTCTGCTTTATTAGTTTTTTGAACTAGACGGAATACTTGTACAATCTGGACAAGTGTAAAATGTGTAATCATCACGGCCACATTTGAAACAAAATACTTTGCGTTTTTCTGTACATTGTCTTAAGTTGTGTGTATCAACACGACACCGGGGGCAAAACTTTTGTTTACTTTCGTCATATTGAATAGCGTCAATTGGTTTATTATGACCATAAACTCTTTGTTGCCGTTGCGGATAAGTGTTGTTTAAAACATTAGAATTGGGAGAATATTTTTTATAAAGGTTACTTGAATTAGGTATAGGTTTATTATAATTATTATAAGCTTTATTGCAATTAAATTTATTAGTGGCAGAATAGTACATTTTATTTTTTTCTGCTAAATTAGTGAGTGGCTTAAATGCAAATTCGGGTGCTAGTGTGGCTGAATTTATTTTAGGAGGTTCATGATATTTATTAAGACAAGACTGTACATTCTCATAATTTTTACAAGCCGTACGTAAGACCTCAATAGATTTAAGATCAGGCACTGCAATTAAAGCGCTAGCATAGCACGGTTTGATATTGTGCATAATAATTTCTAACTGATCTTCCTCCGAAGGTTTTTTAAATAAACGGGAAAACATGCCTGACATAATGGCTAGGTAAATAGTAATATTCTCAGTTTCACCTTGCGTACGAGCTTTTATCTCGTCTAATAAGCGATAATCATGATCAGGAATAACAAAAACATCCTTCAGTAATTCGCATAATCTATCCCAAGACGTAACATGTGATCTTACACTGCGAAACCAGTGTAAAGCATCACCAACGAAAATTTCTGTTCCAAAATCTATAATTTTAGAAGAGGGAATACCACGGGCTGTTATATAGTCGTTTATACGTTGGACAAACGAAAGTACGCACGTTTTTCCATCAAACTTAATACTAGTTAAGTCCGAAGAATGAGCTCGATCACATGTAACAACAATAGGGGACGGTGTAATTGTAAGAGCATCTGTAAATTCAGATGAGGAATCAGTATCAGGCTTAAGATGTTCTAAGTTTTTAAAATTTGTATTTAGCTTGAGCCTGAGGCTTTCTAGAATATCTGTAGACTTTTTATCTACAGCATCCAGACGTTGAATCCTATGAAATAGATGGTTAAGTAAGTTTTGAGTACGTTTATATAAATTTTTATCATATTTCACTGATAATGTTTTTAAATTCGTTTCTACTTTAATAAGGCTTTCGCGGATGCCCTCTACGTCTACAGAAAACTCAAACCCAGATTCAATAATATCATCCGAAGGCATCACATTGGCTAATTTGACTATCTGCCTGCGTAATTCTTGAACGTTTTCTCCGGGTGTGCCGCCTCTAATGGCCACCTCATAGCTTAGTTCGTTTTTTTGTAAGGACAAAAATTGAATTTCGTATGACATAATTTAAGAAGTCTAAGAAAATCCTTATACTAGGTTTATGTGAGCAGGTTTAAAATTCTATAATTATACAATAAAACTAATTTGTTTAAGTAAGAATCCTCCGTCCTGTTACAATTTTGGTAATAGTAATCCCCTAAGTTTTTTTTTTAAGGATGCTCGTAAAAATTACTACACGGGAAAGCAAAAAAATAAAGAGAAAAAAAAATGCAACAATAGGGTGCAACTGTAGTATATATTTGCTTTAATAAAACTTATTATTAAATATATTAATAAAACCAAAATATTTTATTTTTGTACGTATACAAATTAGACACAATAAGGATACCACTAAAATTAAAACATTATATACACTGCAGTTGCAAAAGTATAAAAGGCAAAATAAAAGTCATAAAAAAAAACAAAAGGTTTACAATATACACGCACACACCACTAAAATTCCTGATCCTGAATAACCGAGTTGAGGCGCCAATGTCACGTTATTATTTTATTTGATAATAAATAAATAATAACAACAATTTTTTTTACAATGTTTAATAACACTACTTATAAAACTAGACTAATATAAGTACTTCTAAAGAGATATTTAATAATACTGCTTATAAAAAAAAAACTAATATAAATACTTCTAAGAAAATACTAAGTTGACTAATAATAAAAAAAAACGCAAATAAAATAAAATTAACAGGTCGCGGGTTCGACGCCTTTCAGGATCAGGAGAAAAAAAGCAAGTACTTCCCTGGCACGACTGGCGGCGAGTCCGGCGGAAGTGGTTGGAGATATGTGTCCTTTATAGACCGATTTCGCTTGCGAATTCAATGTATATTTTATATATATATATATTTCATTTAATTCCAAATCCTCCCATCTTATCTCGTTTAGAAATAAATAATAAGAAGGATGTCTCAGCCCCTGGCGAGGTTCCCTGGAACACACAGTCGAAATCTTTCATGAGCCTTGCCTCCAAAGTAGGTAATATTATACGCCCACCGCCAGAATCAACTAGGCGAGTAAAACTGATAAGTTTGGTGTGGCGGTACGTGCTACCAGAACGGAGGCAAGAAAATAAAGTTATATCAACTAAGCATCTACTATGAAAAGACATACACAATTACGTGGTAAAATAACTAGCATGTGACATAAAATTAAATTACACACTAAGTATCAATTGTCTAAACTTCAAAATCAAAGTAACATAATATTTGTTACACTATTGTAATACATATATTATAAATTTGCTCACACTTACCCAATATAAGGGGAACAACCGTTAATATTTAATAATTATTAACAAACCTATAAAAAGCTATTAGCTATAATTTGCATAACGTATGCGTTTTGAATTATTTAATATAGATGCAGAAATGCATTTAGGCGACTGGACCTTCACGGTCACACTGAGGTCAATCGTCAGCCGCGCGGACTATTCATGCACCCCCACTTGTCTTCGCGCGAATTAGATGACACATTACAGAGTCGAGAAACTGGCATCACTAGCTTGTGTTTGTTCCTAGTGTTTACAGAATGTATATCACTTTTTTTACTAAAACTATCTTTGTTTTTGTGAACATACTTTAAATTAGAATTAGGGGAATAGATTTTACTTACATCTATCTTCGGTTAAGAATTGAAATGCAAATGCGCAAATAAATTGTCACCCCTCAAGACAAGATGAAATACCTTGTTTCCAATAAAAGTCTCCATTACGCTACATTCACCATACGAAACAGCATCATTTATCTGCTATATCAACAGGTATTTTGTGAAAGCGGGATCATTCCCCAGTCGAGCCGACTATTTCGTAATACAACTATAAAATTATTGCTGCAGCATATCTCTACCATGTAGTGCGAACTTAAAACAAAGAAGGCTTCGGATGCGTTGTCACCTTTAAATAGTAAGAAAGAACGCTTTACAGCCTGTTATTATACTGGCTCTCTATTTTCTTCAGACTGAAAAACGGCAGTGCACGTAATGCTATTTGGGGGCAGATATAATTTAATATTGATTGCAAGTAAATCTTATTGAAAGCCAGTTTTTAACTTTACCACTGGAATATACTACTAGTAGTTTATACTTTTACTATAGTCTTATTGCAATACTGCAGGTATACGTGTATCGTGGAGCCGCTGCTGGACTCCGTGTGCGAATGTGTGAACACGGAGACGGTGGCGCCGCTGCGACGTGCAGGCGCGCGCGCGCTCACCCGCCTGCTGCTGGCCGGCTACCTGCGCCTGCGCACGCCGCTCTACTACCGGTGCGTACGTGCGCACGTACACTGCACTAGGCGTGTGCGTGTGCGTGTGCGTGTGTATGTCGCGCGCTCACCCGCCTGCTGCTGGCCGGCTACCTGCGCCTGCGCACGCCGCTCTACTACCGGTGCGTACGTGCGCACGTACACTGCACTAGGCGTGTGCGTGTGCGTGTGCGTGTGTATGTCGCGCGCTCACCCGCCTGCTGCTGGCCGGCTACCTGCGCCTGCGCACGCCGCTCTACTACCGGTGCGTACGTGCGCACGTACACTGCACTAGGCGTGTGCGTGTGCGTGTGCGTGTGTATGTCGCGCGCTCACCCGCCTGCTGCTGGCCGGCTACCTGCGCCTGCGCACGCCGCTCTACTACCGGTGCGTACGTGCGCACGTACACTGCACTAGGCGTGTGCGTGTGCGTGTGTATGTCGCGCGCTCACCCGCCTGCTGCTGGCCGGCTACCTGCGCCTGCGCACGCCGCTCTACTACCGGTGCGTACGTGCGCACGTACACTGCACTAGGCGTGTGCGTGTGCGTGTGTATGTCGCGCGCTCACCCGCCTGCTGCTGGCCGGCTACCTGCGCCTGCGCACGCCGCTCTACTACTGGTGCGTACGTGCGCACGTACACTGCACTAGGCGTGTGCGTGTGCGTGTGCGTGTGTATGTCGCGCGCTCACCCGCCTGCTGCTGGCCGGCTACCTGCGCCTGCGCACGCCGCTCTACTACCGGTGCGTACGTGCGCACGTACACTGCACTAGGCGTGTGCGTGTGCGTGTGTATGTCGCGCGCTCACCCGCCTGCTGCTGGCCGGCTACCTGCGCCTGCGCACGCCGCTCTACTACCGGTGCGTACGTGCGCACGTACACTGCACTAGGCGTGTGCGTGTGCGTGTGCGTGTGTATGTCGCGCGCTCACCCGCCTGCTGCTGGCCGGCTACCTGCGCCTGCGCACGCCGCTCTACTACCGGTGCGTACGTGCGCACGTACACTGCACTAGGCGTGTGCGTGTGCGTGTGCGTGTGTATGTCGCGCGCTCACCCGCCTGCTGCTGGCCGGCTACCTGCGCCTGCGCACGCCGCTCTACTACCGGTGCGTACGTGCGCACGTACACTGCACTAGGCGTGTGCGTGTGCGTGTGTATGTCGCGTGCTCACCCGCCTGCTGCTGGCCGGCTACCTGCGCCTGCGCACGCCGCTCTACTACCGGTGCGTACGTGCGCACGTACACTGCACTAGGCGTGTGCGTGTGCGTGTGTATGTCGCGCGCTCACCCGCCTGCTGCTGGCCGGCTACCTGCGCCTGCGCACGCCGCTCTACTACCGGTGCGTACGTGCGCACGTACACTGCACTAGGCGTGTGCGTGTGCGTGTGCGTGTGTATGTCGCGCGCTCACCCGCCTGCTGCTGGCCGGCTACCTGCGCCTGCGCACGCCGCTCTACTACCGGTGCGTACGTGCGCACGTACACTGCACTAGGCGTGTGCGTGTGCGTGTGTATGTCGCGCGCTCACCCGCCTGCTGCTGGCCGGCTACCTGCGCCTGCGCACGCCGCTCTACTACCGGTGCGTACGTGCGCACGTACACTGCACTAGGCGTGTGCGTGTGCGTGTGCGTGTGTATGTCGCGCGCTCACCCGCCTGCTGCTGGCCGGCTACCTGCGCCTGCGCACGCCGCTCTACTACCGGTGCGTACGTGCGCACGTACACTGCACTAGGCGTGTGCGTGTGCGTGTGCGTGTGTATGTCGCGCGCTCACCCGCCTGCTGCTGGCCGGCTACCTGCGCCTGCGCACGCCGCTCTACTACCGGTGCGTACGTGCGCACGTACACTGCACTAGGCGTGTGCGTGTGCGTGTGTATGTCGCGCGCTCACCCGCCTGCTGCTGGCCGGCTACCTGCGCCTGCGCACGCCGCTCTACTACCGGTGCGTACGTGCGCACGTACACTGCACTAGGCGTGTGCGTGTGCGTGTGTATGTCGCGCGCTCACCCGCCTGCTGCTGGCCGGCTACCTGCGCCTGCGCACGCCGCTCTACTACCGGTGCGTACGTGCGCACGTACACTGCACTAGGCGTGTGCGTGTGCGTGTGTATGTCGCGCGCTCACCCGCCTGCTGCTGGCCGGCTACCTGCGCCTGCGCACGCCGCTCTACTACCGGTGCGTACGTGCGCACGTACACTGCACTAGGCGTGTGCGTGTGCGTGTGTATGTCGCGCGCTCACCCGCCTGCTGCTGGCCGGCTACCTGCGCCTGCGCACGCCGCTCTACTACCGGTGCGTACGTGCGCACGTACACTGCACTAGGCGTGTGCGTGTGCGTGTGTATGTCGCGCGCTCACCCGCCTGCTGCTGGCCGGCTACCTGCGCCTGCGCACGCCGCTCTACTACCGGTGCGTACGTGCGCACGTACACTGCACTAGGCGTGTGCGTGTGCGTGTGTATGTCGCGCGCTCACCCGCCTGCTGCTGGCCGGCTACCTGCGCCTGCGCACGCCGCTCTACTACCGGTGCGTACGTGCGCACGTACACTGCACTAGGCGTGTGCGTGTGCGTGTGTATGTCGCGCGCTCACCCGCCTGCTGCTGGCCGGCTACCTGCGCCTGCGCACGCCGCTCTACTACCGGTGCGTACGTGCGCACGTACACTGCACTAGGCGTGTGCGTGTGCGTGTGTATGTCGCGCGCTCACCCGCCTGCTGCTGGCCGGCTACCTGCGCCTGCGCACGCCGCTCTACTACCGGTGCGTACGTGCGCACGTACACTGCACTAGGCGTGTGCGTGTGCGTGTGTATGTTGCGCGCTCACCCGCCTGCTGCTGGCCGGCTACCTGCGCCTGCGCACGCCGCTCTACTACCGGTGCGTACGTGCGCACGTACACTGCACTAGGCGTTTGCGTGTGCGTGTGCGTGTGTATGTCGCGCGCTCACCCGCCTGCTGCTGGCCGGCTACCTGCGCCTGCGCACGCCGCTCTACTACCGGTGCGTACGTGCGCACGTACACTGCACTAGGCGTGTGCGTGTGCGTGTGCGTGTGTATGTCGCGCGCTCACCCGCCTGCTGCTGGCCGGCTACCTGCGCCTGCGCACGCCGCTCTACTACCGGTGCGTACGTGCGCACGTACACTGCACTAGGCGTGTGCGTGTGCGTGTGTATGTCGCGCGCTCACCCGCCTGCTGCTGGCCGGCTACCTGCGCCTGCGCACGCCGCTCTACTACCGGTGCGTACGTGCGCACGTACACTGCACTAGGCGTGTGCGTGTGCGTGTGCGTGTGTATGTCGCGCGCTCACCCGCCTGCTGCTGGCCGGCTGCCTGCGCCTGCGCACGCCGCTCTACTACCGGTGCGTACGTGCGCACGTACACTGCACTAGGCGTGTGCGTGTGCGTGTGTATGTCGCGCGCTCACCCGCCTGCTGCTGGCCGGCTACCTGCGCCTGCGCACGCCGCTCTACTACCGGTGCGTACGTGCGCACGTACACTGCACTAGGCGTGTGCGTGTGCGTGTGTATGTCGCGCGCTCACCCGCCTGCTGCTGGCCGGCTACCTGCGCCTGCGCACGCCGCTCTACTACCGGTGCGTACGTGCGCACGTACACTGCACTAGGCGTGTGCGTGTGCGTGTGTATGTCGCGCGCTCACCCGCCTGCTGCTGGCCGGCTACCTGCGCCTGCGCACGCCGCTCTACTACCGGTGCGTACGTGCGCACGTACACTGCACTAGGCGTGTGCGTGTGCGTGTGTATGTCGCGCGCTCACCCGCCTGCTGCTGGCCGGCTACCTGCGCCTGCGCACGCCGCTCTACTACCGGTGCGTACGTGCGCACGTACACTGCACTAGGCGTGTGCGTGTGCGTGTGTATGTTGCGCGCTCACCCGCCTGCTGCTGGCCGGCTACCTGCGCCTGCGCACGCCGCTCTACTACCGGTGCGTACGTGCGCACGTACACTGCACTAGGCGTTTGCGTGTGCGTGTGCGTGTGTATGTCGCGCGCTCACCCGCCTGCTGCTGGCCGGCTACCTGCGCCTGCGCACGCCGCTCTACTACCGGTGCGTACGTGCGCACGTACACTGCACTAGGCGTGTGCGTGTGCGTGTGCGTGTGTATGTCGCGCGCTCACCCGCCTGCTGCTGGCCGGCTACCTGCGCCTGCGCACGCCGCTCTACTACCGGTGCGTACGTGCGCACGTACACTGCACTAGGCGTGTGCGTGTGCGTGTGTATGTCGCGCGCTCACCCGCCTGCTGCTGGCCGGCTACCTGCGCCTGCGCACGCCGCTCTACTACCGGTGCGTACGTGCGCACGTACACTGCACTAGGCGTGTGCGTGTGCGTGTGCGTGTGTATGTCGCGCGCTCACCCGCCTGCTGCTGGCCGGCTGCCTGCGCCTGCGCACGCCGCTCTACTACCGGTGCGTACGTGCGCACGTACACTGCACTAGGCGTGTGCGTGTGCGTGTGTATGTCGCGCGCTCACCCGCCTGCTGCTGGCCGGCTACCTGCGCCTGCGCACGCCGCTCTACTACCGGTGCGTACGTGCGCACGTACACTGCACTAGGCGTGTGCGTGTGCGTGTGTATGTCGCGCGCTCACCCGCCTGCTGCTGGCCGGCTACCTGCGCCTGCGCACGCCGCTCTACTACCGGTGCGTACGTGCGCACGTACACTGCACTAGGCGTGTGCGTGTGCGTGTGCGTGTGTATGTCGCGCGCTCACCCGCCTGCTGCTGGCCGGCTACCTGCGCCTGCGCACGCCGCTCTACTACCGGTGCGTACGTGCGCACGTACACTGCACTAGGCGTGTGCGTGTGCGTGTGCGTGTGTATGTCGCGCGCTCACCCGCCTGCTGCTGGCCGGCTACCTGCGCCTGCGCACGCCGCTCTACTACCGGTGCGTACGTGCGCACGTACACTGCACTAGGCGTGTGCGTGTGCGTGTGTATGTCGCGCGCTCACCCGCCTGCTGCTGGCCGGCTACCTGCGCCTGCGCACGCCGCTCTACTACCGGTGCGTACGTGCGCACGTACACTGCACTAGGCGTGTGCGTGTGCGTGTGCGTGTGTATGTCGCGCGCTCACCCGCCTGCTGCTGGCCGGCTGCCTGCGCCTGCGCACGCCGCTCTACTACCGGTGCGTACGTGCGCACGTACACTGCACTAGGCGTGTGCGTGTGCGTGTGCGTGTGTATGTCGCGCGCTCACCCGCCTGCTGCTGGCCGGCTACCTGCGCCTGCGCACGCCGCTCTACTACCGGTGCGTACGTGCGCACGTACACTGCACTAGGCGTGTGCGTGTGCGTGTGTATGTCGCGCGCTCACCCGCCTGCTGCTGGCCGGCTACCTGCGCCTGCGCACGCCGCTCTACTACCGGTGCGTACGTGCGCACGTACACTGCACTAGGCGTGTGCGTGTGCGTGTGTATGTCGCGCGCTCACCCGCCTGCTGCTGGCCGGCTACCTGCGCCTGCGCACGCCGCTCTACTACCGGTGCGTACGTGCGCACGTACACTGCACTAGGCGTGTGCGTGTGCGTGTGCGTGTGTATGTCGCGCGCTCACCCGCCTGCTGCTGGCCGGCTGCCTGCGCCTGCGCACGCCGCTCTACTACCGGTGCGTACGTGCGCACGTACACTGCACTAGGCGTGTGCGTGTGCGTGTGCGTGTGTATGTCGCGCGCTCACCCGCCTGCTGCTGGCCGGCTACCTGCGCCTGCGCACGCCGCTCTACTACCGGTGCGTACGTGCGCACGTACACTGCACTAGGCGTGTGCGTGTGCGTGTGTATGTCGCGCGCTCACCCGCCTGCTGCTGGCCGGCTACCTGCGCCTGCGCACGCCGCTCTACTACCGGTGCGTACGTGCGCACGTACACTGCACTAGGCGTGTGCGTGTGCGTGTGTATGTCGCGCGCTCACCCGCCTGCTGCTGGCCGGCTACCTGCGCCTGCGCACGCCGCTCTACTACCGGTGCGTACGTGCGCACGTACACTGCACTAGGCGTGTGCGTGTGCGTGTGTATGTCGCGCGCTCACCCGCCTGCTGCTGGCCGGCTACCTGCGCCTGCGCACGCCGCTCTACTACCGGTGCGTACGTGCGCACGTACACTGCACTAGGCGTGTGCGTGTGCGTGTGTATGTCGCGCGCTCACCCGCCTGCTGCTGGCCGGCTGCCTGCGCCTGCGCACGCCGCTCTACTACCGGTGCGTACGTGCGCACGTACACTGCACTAGGCGTGTGCGTGTGCGTGTGTATGTCGCGCGCTCACCCGCCTGCTGCTGGCCGGCTACCTGCGCCTGCGCACGCCGCTCTACTACCGGTGCGTACGTGCGCACGTACACTGCACTAGGCGTGTGCGTGTGCGTGTGTATGTCGCGCGCTCACCCGCCTGCTGCTGGCCGGCTACCTGCGCCTGCGCACGCCGCTCTACTACCGGTGCGTACGTGCGCACGTACACTGCACTAGGCGTGTGCGTGTGCGTGTGTATGTCGCGCGCTCACCCGCCTGCTGCTGGCCGGCTACCTGCGCCTGCGCACGCCGCTCTACTACCGGTGCGTACGTGCGCACGTACACTGCACTAGGCGTGTGCGTGTGCGTGTGTATGTCGCGCGCTCACCCGCCTGCTGCTGGCCGGCTACCTGCGCCTGCGCACGCCGCTCTACTACCGGTGCGTACGTGCGCACGTACACTGCACTAGGCGTGTGCGTGTGCGTGTGTATGTCGCGCGCTCACCCGCCTGCTGCTGGCCGGCTACCTGCGCCTGCGCACGCCGCTCTACTACCGGTGCGTACGTGCGCACGTACACTGCACTAGGCGTGTGCGTGTGCGTGTGTATGTTTCACTTGTGGCGCAACGACTGCGCCGCCATAATGACAAACCTTCTCTTTTTTATTTATAGGATTAGGGTGACAAACGAGCACACAGTCCACTTGATGGTAAGTAATTATGACATCATATACATCTAGATCTATCCTCGACTACGAATCAAAATCAAATGCGTTGTCACCCGTGAGGACTAAGATGGAATTGCCTCGTTTCAAGTAAAAGGGATCTTTCATTCTCTACGAGTGTGGCTTATATACAGCTCCATATTCATCTGGTTCATGAAGAAGTTGATTTGCATAATATTATCTGTTACTAAATCATTATCATCATTATTACAGCCCTTCACAAGGCCACTGCTGAACATAGGCCTTCCCCAAGGAATGCCACAAAGCACGGTCCTGAGCCACCTGCATCCATCGACTTCCTGCATGTCTTACCAGGTCGTCACTCCATCTCGTGGGGGGACGCCCTACACTTCGTCCGCGTTCACTCGAGAACATTTTCTCCCCATCGGTTGTCGGTTCTTCGAGCTATATGGCCGGCCCATTGCCACTTCAGCTTACTAATCCGTTGGGCTATGTCGGTCACTCTGGTTCTACTGCGGATATCCTCATTTCTAAGTTTATCACGCAGTGAAACTCCGAGCATAGCCCTCTCCATAGCTTGCTGAGCGACCTTGAGCTTCCTCATCCGGCCAGCAGTGAAGGAACACGTCTCAGTTCCATAGGTCATCACTGGCAACACTAGTGGTTGTACAGTCTCGTTTTCAAGTTTTGAGGTATACCTGACGAGAAGATGTGCCATAATTTCCCAAACGCTGCCCAACCGAGTTGAATCCGTCGATTGACCTCTCGGTCGAAGTTGGACTTACCTAGTCGGACTATTTGTCCCAGGTAAAACATACTCGTCACCAACTTCAAACTTAGTGCTCCCAACAACTACCGATATAGGTGTGACATGGACATTAAACATGATCTTTGTTTTGTCTATGTTCATCTTAAGACCTATCCGTTCGGAAACACTATTGAGGTCATTGAGCATAGTGCTTAGGTCCTCCAGCGATTCTGTCATAAGGACTATATCGTCGGTTGTCCCAGGTAAAACATACTCGTCAACAACTTCGAACTTAGTGCACCCAACAACTACCGGCATAGGTGTGACATGGACTTTAAACATGATTTTTGTTTTGTCCGTGTTCATCTTAAGACCTATCCGTTAGGAAACACTATTGAGGTCATTGAGCATAGTGCTTAGGTCCTCCAGCGATTCTGTCATAAGGACTATATCGTCGGCAAATCGAAGGTGAGTGATGTACTCGCCATTGATGTTAATACCGTATCCTTTCTAGTCCAGAAGCTTGAAAACATCTTCCAATGCAGTGGTGAAGAGTTTCGGGGATATAACGTCACCCTGTCTTATACCTCTCTGCAATTGGATAGGTTTTGTACTCTGGTTCTGTACTCGAATAGCCATCGTATCCCTACTGTACAAGCACTTCAGCACTTCGTTATACCGACAGTCAACTTGGCACCGCTGAAGGGACGGCAGCACCGCCTAAACTGTTACTAAATGCCTTGACCTTAAACAAACGGTGATGACATCATCTAAGCAAGAAATTTAATATTTGATGATCTAAATTCAGAAGTTTGTTTCCATACTTTAGTAGGGTGTGCATATTAATTTTAATTCTTATATTGTTTTAGAATAGGCGTGAAAAATATTTTGTTATATGTATGTTTGCTAAAATAATTGTAATATTTCATTTCAAAGTGTATGTAGAAAAATATATGTAATTTTTATACAAACGAACAGTGCGATAGAAATTATTAGTTCAAAATATTAGTTATCATTTTTGTTTCAACAGTCTATCGTATTAGTAATACGACAAACTTGAACTTTTATGTCGTTTTACAGGTACTGTGCTCTTCTAGCGGATGATGACCACGACGTCCGTGAACCAGCTGAGTACTACGTGAGCAGCTGTCTCACTACCGACGCTATTTACCATCATTTCGTTGACTGCATCTTACATTATAATAGTGATGGAGGTATGCTTTTTTCATATTGCCTTAATTTTGTTATAAAATGTTCCGTTTTAAAAGTTATTATAGTACCTTTTTATATTATCGATTTTACAGAATCGCTATACCGCCCTTCTCCCTAGCCTTCTTTAAATATTTTCAAAGAAGTATTACATCTTACATGTATTAGCAGGTACACTTTTGGCACTATAATATCTTGTGCGTAACAGTTTCTGACACCATTCAAAAACTAAAGCCTCGGTCGAAATCATTATCATATGTTGTATGTAGTCCCTTGTATCGCACCATGAGGAAACAAAAAAAAGAAATGACCCCGAGTTCCCGGAGCCCCTTTAATGGGGCATGGGTGCGAAGAATTTCCGGGAGGAAAACCGGCGACGAGGTTCGCCACCCGACACGTTCTATCTCCCGGAGGGGCGAAAAGTGTATTGCGGAGGCCCGTCTGGCTTTTTTTATAGGAGAGGGGGGTAAACGAGCATGCGGCTCACCTGATGGTATGTGACTACCGCCGCCCATGAACAACTGCAACACCAGGGAAACCAGGCGAATTGCAGATGGGTTGCCGGCTTTTTAAAAAGGAGTAGGCTCTTTTCTTGAAGGTCCCTAAGTCGTATCAGTCCAGAAAAATCGCTGATGGTAATCGATTCCACAAGGAAGTTGTGCGAGGAAGAAACATCTTCTAAATCGCACAGTGGTGGACCGCCAATATTCCAGATGGTGTGGATGGTATCGGGAGTTCTGCCGCGATGTGCATTCGTGAAATTTGGCGGCTGGGATTAATCCGAACAATTCCTCAGGGCACTCCCCATGGTAAATGCGAAAGACTAAATGCAAAGGGAAGCAGCAATTCTCTTCGCAGTGCCAATGAATCGAGCCGATCGGAAAGGACTCGGTCGTCGACGATTCGAGCCGCTCTGCGCTGGATGCGGTCAAGTGGAACCTGCGCCTTGTAAGTTTGCAGGTGGTTTGTCCAGCAAAGACTCGACTTCAAACACAAGTTTGTTCCGGTACTCGGCGTTGTTTTCCCGAGAAATATTGACACGGCCGGTGTATAGAGCATCATCAGTGCTGTCATCCGCATAGCAATGAATGTTTACCAGTTTGCAACATATCATTGATATGCAGAAGAAACGGCGTTGGTGATAGCACACAACCTTTTGGAACACTTGTAGGCTTGTAGTCGGAGCATGCACCGTCTACCAGGACCTTGATGCTCCGATCTGCAAGGAAGCTGGTGATCCAATTGCACAATTTCTCGGGAAGCCCATAGGAAGGGAGCTTCGAAAGAAGCGCTTTGTGCCAAACCCGATCGAAGGCCTTCGCAATGTCCAAACTAACGGCCAACGCTTCCCCCTTGGACTCTACTGCCTCCGCCCATCTATGAGTCAGGTAGACCAGAAGATCACCCGCTGATTGACCCCGACGAAAACCGTATTGGCGTTCACTAATCAGCTGGTGATCCTCAAGGTACCGCATGAGCTGGCAGTTAATAATGGATTCCATTATTTTGGAGAACAAGGAGGTGATGGCGATAGGCCTGTAGTTGTACGGGTATGAGCGGTCGCCTTTTTTAGGGATCGGGCGGACAAAAGCTGTCTTCCATGATTTGGCTACGCTGAATGTGGAGCAATAAATGATAAGATGTAAGAAGTATGCGATAATTATTATGATGTATGATAGAGGAATAGATGTGTTATGTGTAAATGAGACGAAACGGAAGGGAAGGGATGCCACTACACATGGCATGTATACCGCGTACTGGTCTGGTGCAGACGAGACCGAGCGGGCATGCCAGGCAGTCGGTATCATCCTTTCAGAAAGGCTGGCTCAATATGTGAGAGGGTATGAATGTGTAAGCCTGAGATTGCTATGGATACGAATGAAAGTGGGCTTAAAGAAGGTGTTTGTTCTAGGGGTGTTACGCCCGAGACATGTCTAAGCCTACTTATATCCTAGAGCAGTTTTGTTAGAAGGTAAGGAAATTAAAATATTGTTATGTTAGGAGATTTTAATGTAAGGGTTGGGGTGAAGAGGCTTGGTTATGAAATGATATTTAGAACGTTTGGTATTGAAAGTAAATTAAAAAGTGTATGTAAAATATATGAGAATGATGAAAGCCTCCTCACCACTGACCTCTATATATGAATTGGCTATACACCGTGACATAATGAGGTGATTTGATTTTCGCCATTTTGGCGCTGACAGCAGGAATGAACGTCCAAGGGACTAATAATAGAGATAAGACGGTGTGAAAAAATATATCGATAAGAATACTATACCCAGTCCTACCCGTAACGTCGATTCTATTTATGTATCATATTCATATAAAACAAGAATCGACGCTGCGTTGATCTATCTACATTTTTATTCGTAACTACAGAACGGATTTTGTTCCGGGTTTCAAATGAGAAAATACCTACGCATATCTGCATTGCGGGGGCAAGACTTGATTATGTCGGACTTGCACCTACTAAAACCCCATCCACCTTCGCCACACATTGACAGGGTCACGGAAACCCTTTCAAGCACATCCGCGGCCCCACCAGCGAGGACCCCTCCTTAATTGAGGACTTCCCTCCCCGATTTCCTGAGCCCGATATATGGAGGCCATGAAGTCGCGGAGGATAGTCGAGTGGCGCATTACCGTAAGAACAATCCTCTTCCCTTGGGACTCCACCTCGGCTGCAGTGATATAGAGAGAGGACTCCCCTCTAGCCGTAGCTCGCTAACACACATCCAAGGACTCGACAAGCCCACTCAGAGTGGCCACCTTTGGCCAGCCTTTCATTTCGGGCCAGCCATATGAGTTGGCCCTACGTTTACTATGGGTTTCCAAGCCACCGCTACTAACCCCCTGCCCCGACAAGGGAGACCCGTTCAGGGAGGAGTTAATTCTCACCTAAACTCACGCAAATTCACTAAAGATATTCATAATTTTACAGTTCTAATATAAATTTATTCCCTCGATACAATAAATTGGTCACACTAACGGTCTTGTAAACACAAAGTCATCATCAGGCGACCTTTCTACATTTGGCTAGTCTGGTTTTATCTGGTAGTTCTGGTCCCTGAGTCTGGAGGAAAATAAGGAGAAAAGAAATAAAAATCATTCGAAATATGTAATAATCTAATACTTTTATACTTACCGGTACTGGTACTACCAGAAAATATTGTGGGTATACTGCACTTTTTCAAAGTGGTGCGTGTCTCATGTCCAATAAAACAGTCGTCTGAGAAGTGTTTAGAACAAAGATAATAATTTTGTTTCGGACGCAAATTTACAATTTTTGTGCTTTTTAGCCATAATTTTAGTCTAGGTTCTAGTTCTAGGTAGGTTGGTTGTGAACAGATACGGGGAGAAAAGAACATTCATAAGTATTATAGACAAGGAATTCGACAACCCTATTGAATTTTATTGTTTACTAAAACTCAGTAATATAAAGCCTGTTGCCTGTTGGTAATTACGATATTAAGATTAGTAACAAATTTTTAAGAACCTATATTATCAAATAGTTTTAATTTGCTTAATATTATCTGCGAATTCATTTACTTGTGGAATGTTATCCCACTTTCCTTTTGGTAACGAGTATTACATATTACGCACACTCGTTACTACAAAAATAATTTTTATTATGTAACTAAAATCAAACATAATCAAACCACATAAAATACTTTCATGTTTTAGTTTCAAATTCAAAATACAGAGGTACGATTTAAATAATACAACAGACTGGCATATTATGTCAATTTTAGTTTCCGGTACGGTGTATGGCATAGCCAGTCCAGCGTACTTGTATATATAGAGATCAGTGCTCCTCACCGTATGTGTGGAAAAGGATCTTTTGTGACGGACACTTTCTGTTGCCATAAGAAGATTCACTTGTCTACATGGGAAAGAGGTGGTGTTAGAAGTATGATAGATTTCATAATTGTGAATGAAAGAATGGGGAGCGCAGTGGTAGATACCAGAGTTTACTGGGTGTTCAACGTAGGGACGGATCATTACTTGGTCTTATGCCGAATTAATGGTCTATTCAGGCGTTGGCGGCATCGGACATCTGTGTCTACCACTCCATTACAGCATATAAGAACAGAGACGTTACAAGATGAAGGTGAGAAAGAAAAGTACAAATGTAGACTGAGAGAAAATATAAGTGATTTGAATTAATTGTGTATGAATGATTTAGACTTGGAGACTGTGAGGCATAATGTTTTTTTTTACAGGATAAGGGTGACAAACGAGCACACTCTCCACCTGATGGTAAGTGGTTGCTGCGGCCCATAGACATCTACAACTATCCTCGTTTGCGAATCAAAATGCAGATGCGTTGCCACCCGTGAGGACTAAGATGGAATGCCTCATTTCCAGTAAAAAGGGCCTCCGGCCACCTGCACTCACCAAGCGAAACCCAGAGGTAAACCTCTACTTCACGCTGGTATTCTGTGAGGTCGTGGTACCACCCCGGTTAGAGCCGGCCCATCCGTGAGACAGCAAAAGCTGCCGCGTGGCTCTAACACTATTAACAAAGGTTTGGTGGATGCAGCTACCTAAGTATGTGGTCTAAGTAAGAGAAAGAATGAAAGAAAAAATTATACGATATGATATATGTATAAGGAAAAATAATACGGGATGATGAGGTACGGATGGAAGTTGTAGCAAAAAAGAGAGCATGGCTAGATTTACCAGCAACTAAGGCTGGTAATTCTGGCGGAATGAATGAATATTGAAAGAAAAAAACTAGTCTTTAGACATCTAATTATGAGAATAAAAGAAGTAGTTGAAAGGACAAAACAAGAAAGAACAGATAAGAATTTTAGAAGAATATCGGATAACTTCCAGACAAATATTATAATGTTCTGGAAACTCGTAAGAACTGCTGGGGGGGGGGGGGACATTTAAAACAGCCTAGAATTAATGCTATACGAGACCAGAATGGCTGTATTCTGAATGACGAAGTTTCGAGTTCGTTCGTCTGAATTAAGTGAAACAGAAAGATAAGGAAAGAAGTGGAAAGAGGTCGGGAGATACGTGTAGACGAAATAATGAAAGCAATGAAAAGCATGAAAGCAGGTAAAAGCAAAGGAAAGGTAAAATGAAGTGGATATCGGGAGATTGGTGCAAAGCCGTGATAGTCCTTATATATAGAGGAAAAAGGTCGCAGCAGGTCTGTACAAACTATCGTGGTATCAGCCTAGGCATTGTGGGGAAACTGTATGCTAGGGTGCTAATTGAAAGACTTATGAAAGAAACTGATGGAAAAATTTAGGATGTGCAAGCGGGATTTAGAATGGGAATGGGGTGTACGGATCAACTCTTTTCCATGCGCATGATCGCAGAGAAGTTTTTGGCCAAAAACAAAAAAGTTTTTTGTGCGTTCTTGGACTTGGAAAAGGCTTATGACAGAGTGGACAGGATGTGTTATTGCAAGCACTGAACTCATTTGGGTTGAGCGCTGAGTTGGTACAGGCATTAAAGTCTCTTTACAAGGACTCTAGTGCTTGTGTCAGGATCAACGGGGCCTACTCGGACTGGTTTGGTATCAATAAAGGTATCATACAGAGCTGTGTGGCTTCCCCGTGGCTGTTCAACCTATTTATGGATAGTTGTTTGGAAAATTTAAAAGTTAAAGAATGCGGGTTAAGAATGCGTGAGTTAACCGTCAAATGCCTTTTGTACCCCGATGATCTAGTCATATTTGCGTCGTCGGCGGCCGAGTTGCAAATGGGAATGAAAGTGAACGCAAGTAAGACGAAAGTTATGGTTTTTGAAAGAAAAGAAAGTAAAACGATATGGGAAATAAGAATAGAATGGGAGTTGGTCGAGCAAGTAGATGAGTCTGTGTATTTGGGATGTGTATTTAGCAGGGATGGTAGATACGAGGAGGATTATATCCTTATCATATCTACCATCCCTGCTAAATACATGCAGTTCTGTAGAACGACGAGTGAACGCAGGAAATAGAGTAAGTGGGGCTCTATATTCTATTGTGGAAAGTCAGAATGTGTCCAAAAAGGCACGTATGACAATTCACAATGCTGTGTTAGTCCCTACTTCAATGTATGGTAGTGAAAGTTGGGTGTGGCAGAAGAAGCACGAGAGTAGAATAAATGCTGTAGAAATGCGGTCATTAAAGAGTATGTTAGGGCTGACCCTGAATGACAGGGTGAGAAATTGTGTGATAAGAGAAGAGTGTGGTTTGAAAGATGATGTTGTGATCAGAATTAAGAAAGGAATGCTTCGGTGGTTTGGTAATATAGAAAGAATGAACGAGGAAAGTGACAGAGCAAATTTATGTTGCAGAAGTGAACGGCAGAGTCGAGATGGGACGCCCTAGGCGTAAGTTTATCGACCCAATTGGCGAATTATTGAAAATGGGCTTTATTAAAATTACCCTTAACCGATGAGTATGTATGCCTAGGAATATGATCCACACCCATAGGAGGCGAGACAGGTGTGTCAGGATCGTTCCAAATGGAAGTCCGTAGTCTCTGCCTACCCCTTTGGGTGACAGGCGTGAGTGTTTACGTAAACGTAAGTCGTATCTCGTATTACAGAAAAATTATCATTCGACGCCAGACAACTGATCTACGACGTAATGCTGCAGCGGTTGTCCTTGGTGCAGAAATTGAACGTGCAGTGTCGACTTGCGCGCGAAATCCTGCAACACGCAGCTGACGTTACGGACGAGGGCGACGGCGAACTGCCACGTGCGCTCAACTCTGCACTACTAGACACTATCACGTTACTTTGCGGACCCAGGATGCGGCTGCCCAGTAAGTTTAACACTCATCACGTCTCGATTATATACTGGTTACCATAGTGTACTGATCTGCGGATCTAGGCTGAGGTTGCCGAGTAAAGATAGATTTTTTTACTTGATACGTTTTTCCGCTTTATATATTAAAATCATTATCATTTTTATATTTTTACAGAGAAACCACAGGCTACGGGTGATACTGCGGACATAGACGACCTACAAGAGAGAATTACGACAAATATCGTATCGCATGTAAGTATAGTATCACCTTTAATTATTGCAGAGCCATGTTACAGAAGGAACGGGTCGGTTCAACCGGGAAAGAAACACGCTCTCACAGAATACCAACATAAAAAGCAGCACAATGTTTCTGTGTTTCGTATGAAGCATTACAGCTATATCTATACTCGATTAAGAATCACAATAATGTATCATTGTTATCTCTAAGGGCTAAAATTGAAGGATTCTTACTGGTAAAACTCGTTCTCGTTTGTTTACTTTTATAAGTAATATTATTATTAAAAAAATACTAATTTGTTATAAAAAAAGTTCTTTATATATAAAATTTTTAAATAATAGAAACTACATACAGTAGAACGCCGATTATCTGAACTCCGATTAACCGAATCGCCAATTATCCGAATCGGTCCTAAGCGTAATATAAAAAATTAAAACCAAGTACCTAACTACTGTAAGTAAGTATTTCGTATATTATCTGCCGCAGCGCTGATGCTCTCTATCACTCTCTCTCTCTAGTGCACTACTTACGTATTGTAAAACTGTGTTTGTTAAACTTTAAAGTTTATTCTGTGTGACAGTTCGTTTTCTTTATTACATACCATGTCTGATTATCCGAATTTTCGATTATCCGAATCGACCCCGGTCCCAATTAATTCGGATAATCGGCGTTCTACTGTATATATAATTGGTATCATCACCATCATCATCATCATTGTCATCATCATTGTCATCATCATCATCATCATTACAGCCCTTCACAGGTCCACTGTTGAACATAGGCCTCCCCCAAAGAATGCCACAAAACACGGTCCTGAGCCACCTACATCCATCGATTTCCCGCATGTCTTACCAGATCGTCATTCTATCTAGTAGGGGGCTCAAGAACCTTGCTTCCCCAACGATTGTCGGTTCTTCGAGCTAGATCGTCAGCCTATTGCCACTTCAGTTTACTAATCCGTTGGGCTATGTCGGTTACTTTGGTTCTACTGCGGATATCCTCATTCTTAAGTCTATCACGTAGAGAAACCCCGAGCATAGCCCTATCTATAGCTCGCTGAGCAACCTTGAGTTTTTTCATATTTTTTTAAATGTTACCTTCATACTAGTATTTTCTCCTATATTGTGGAGGCAGTCTACAAACATAAATTGCACAAGGACAAATATCCATACCCGAAACCATTATTTGTAGGCCATACAAATACTTGTTCCGTGCGGGTTTCGAACCCGTGGCCCCCAGTGCAGCAAGTCATTGCTAAGCCTTTGCGCCACAGAACATTTATTATATTATGCTTTAATGACTTAATTCTAGAATTAAAATTACACAGTATGGTTATTATTTATACAATTTTTTGTCTTTAAATTTATGACAGCTTTTGACTTCTGTTAATTTTCTTACCTATTACACATTTTTAATGTTAAGGAGCCGGAGGACCATAAATGCAAAGTAAGAACCATTATCTTGTGCATATGTTTTGTAAGCTTCTAAGCAATAATAATAGATATCCTGTTCTTTATGTGTACACGCCTCTTCATATGTTTTGAGTTTGAGTTGTTTTGTTTATCGCATCGCCCATAGACATTTAATTTTCTCTTGTAGTCTGTTAATGATGTTGTGCTCATATAATAGAAGTTCATAAATGCATTTATTTTTCGACGTTTTAATTTTAAGTGCTGTAGAGATTTTAAGAGACGCTATAATCGACAAGGGGTTTTGTAGAGCGAAATCTCTATTCAAAGAAGTACTGAAAAGCCGGCATCCATTAAGAGTTGTAAAACTAATTTAATTCTAATCTTTAGTAAATGCGACCGAATATTAAGAAATTCGTAACGACCAACAAGTCGGTGATAAAACATCACACGGTTATGGATGACAGAGACAACGCTCTAAAAGGCCGAAAATTTCTAAGACCCGATGTCTTTAAGCACGTATTAAGTCGAGTAATTAACTAAATTTTTATTTTATTTTAAGGAATTTAATTTTAAGTAATCATTTTCACGTTCTCAACACTTAATATTTGTTAAGCTCGTTAGTTCGTCCGAGATAAACGACCAAACAGCACATTCCGGTCATAAATTCAGTGATTTAAATCGTAGTGAGATTCTGGAGGAAATAAAGGGTGAAATAGTCAGGGCAGTGTAAATTTTTTTTTTATAGGATAAGGGTGACAAACGAGCACACAGTCCACCTGATGGTAAGTGGTTGCTGCGGCCCATAGACATCTACATCTATCCTCTGTTACAAATCAAAATGTAGATGCGTTGTCACCCGTGAGGACTAAGATGGAATGCCTCATTTCCAGTAAAATACTTAAAAAACGGAGTGAGAAGATGAAAATGGTGTTTCAAGAGCAATTTGGTTACATATTAGCTACTAGCAGGAGAAGATAAACAAGAGTATTTCTTCGCACTACGGAGACGGCGGAAGAATCCTTTAACTATTTGTTGTCTAAAGTTAAAAATAAGATATCGATCAGAGATACTGTAATGTAATGTGTATTTTTTTATAGAATACGAAAATGAACCGACCCATTCATTTTTTTTTATAAGATTAGGGTGACAAGCGAGCACACAGTCCACCTGATGGTAAGTGGTTGCTGTGGCACATAGACATCTACATCTATTATCATCATCATCATCATCATCATCATCATCATTACAGCCCTTCATAAGTCCACAGCTGAACATAGGCCTCCTCCAAGGTATGCCACAAAACACGGTCCTGAGCCATCTGCATCCATCGACTTCCTGCATGTCTTACCAGGTCGTCACTCCATCTAGTGGGGGTCGCCCTACATTTCGCCTACCAGTACGAGGCTGCCACTCGAGAACCTTTCTTCCCCATCGGTTGTCGGTTTTTCGAGCTATATCGCCGGCCCATTGCTACTTCAGCTTATCCGTCTATTATTCTATCATCGTTTTCGAATTAAAGTGCAGATGCGTTGTCAGCCATGAGGACTAAGATAGAATGTCTCTTTTCCTGTAAAAAGGGTCTCCGGTTCTCTACACTCACCATACGAAACACAGCATTAAGCTGCTATTTTACGCTGGTATACTGTGAGAGCGTGGTCCTTCCTCGGTCGAGCCGATCCAATCGTGCTACAACTATACTATTAATGTAGCTAGATCCCAATTTAAAATTATATATTTTTGTGATAGATTCTAATATTTATTGTACTTTGTATTTTTCATAAACTGTGACATTTAAAAAATTCTTTAAAACCGTGAACTCGGAACGTGACGTTCCGCTTAACTTACGTATTTAACCTCAATCGTGTATGATTCAAGTGATTAACCACACACACATAAACTTAAACAAAGAATAGAAAAAAAAAACTATTCAACTTGTTAACTTGCATGCATAATTTTAACTTGCAACTTTCTAATAAATTAATTGTTTACATGTATAAGTCACTCAAAATTAATTAAAAATTTAGTAAATTACTTGACCTCAATATACGTGCAAATGAGAGGTAAGGGTTAAATGTCTTAAACAATGTGTAATACTGCGTTTGAATGTAGAAAATGAAGCGCACGGTGGCGGAGGTGCTGGTGCCGAGCGTGCTGCGGCTGTACGCGCGCATGCGGCCGCGCGGCGGCCAGCTCGCCGCCTACCTCGTGCGCATCGCCACCGACCTGCTCAGCGACTACCGCCACGAGGTGCACCACCAACACCCACAAACAAACATTCTGTTTCCACCAACACATTTTTACTGCCAAATTATTATGCAACCAAAAAATGAAAAAAATAATATTTGTATCATACTAGCGACTCGCCCCGGTTTCGCCTGGATAGGGTCTTTCAATCTTATTAACCAGATGTAGCACCCAGCCATCTTCTCTATTGAAATTAGAACATTTTTTTGATTCGACGCTCCGAGTAGTTTGCAGTCTATGAGTATCTACAGGACCGCCTCCGTCAGCACATCAGATTTGATCAGGGCTCGGAACCGGTTTAAAAAGAGCGGTTAATTTCGATCAATTACCGGTAAATTTATCGCTCCTTCAATTACCGGTTAAAAAATTAACCGGTTTTTATTAAACCTAAACGATAAAGGTTACCGGTTACTTAACGGTTTCGACACCCAAATTAACCGGTTAATTGCGTAAAACGTAAAGGCAGTTATGAATAGGACACGTAGATTCACGTTGCGAGGTGCTTAAGCGGCATCGCCTCATGCGGGCACACTTATCAATTATCTGCCTTTAAGCGATACATTGTTTTAGTCGCGATCAGGGTGTGTAGTGGGAGTTTGGCGTTTGGTTTATTCGTTAAGACTGGACTTCTCATAATGAAGAAAATTATTTATTCTTGTGTATCGGTTGTTTATTTATGATGGGCAGAAAAAAGGGAATAGAATTTATTCCATGTTTACGTTTTAACAGTGATAGAGCCACGCGGCAGCTTTTGCTATCGCATGGATGGGCCAGCTCGAACCAGGGTAGTATCACGACCTCACAGAATACCAGCATGAAGTAGAAGTTTACTTCTGCGTTTCACTTGGTAGGTGTAGGTGGTTGGAGGCCCAATTCCCCCCCCCCCCCACTTAAAGTATGGTAGCGGAATCAAATAAAAAACTACTCCAGGAGGGTACCAGAATCCTGAAGACGGAGAATCCTTCGCTGAGCACCCACGCCTAAGCTACCCTACTGTTCCTGAGCATGTGTGCTCAAGCTGCCCCGCGTATTCTGGTATACGGGGGAGGGGAGTGGGGGTATCCGCAGAGATCGTGATCCTTGGCGATTTTAACGACCATCACGCCGAATGGCTCGATTCACATTTAACCGATCATGTGGGGAAATTTGTTTAAAGTGACTTTGCCTTGGCATATGGTTGCACAGCTGGTTACTTTGCCTACGCGGATTCCAGATGTGGAGGATCATGCGCCTTCCCTGTTGGAACTTCTGCTGACCTCTTATCCGGACGGATATCAGGATTCCGTCAACACCCCTCACGGCTCCTAGTGCCATTGTCTTGTCTGGAGGGTGATGTCACTCACACTATCTTCGCGGTTGCATTCTGCAGGCAGCCGCCGTGTTTGGAACTATAGATCGGACGAATGGGAAAGGATACGGTCTTTTTTTTTTGCATTCTACCCTTGAGGGCAAATTTGCTTCTTGCTCGATAATCCCAGCAATGTTGCTGATTCTGTCGCTGATGTGGTACTTGAGGATATGGAACTTATTATTCCATCTTCTGTGGTGCCCATCGGAGGCAGATTCCAGCCATAGTTTGGTCGCTCATGTAAAATAAAATCACACTATAAGCAAGAGTGCACCAGCACTGGGCTGACGACATCTTTACATTCCGAGACGTTGATGTATCGAGATGTAAACACCAGCGCTCTTCAAAAGAAGTATAATTCCGCCTCCAGGTTCTTCAAAAGATCTTTGCAAAGAGAGGGCGACTCACCGAGTCCATGCCGTAAAGGAAAAAGCCGATCTGTTAATCTCTCTTTTTGCGTCAAACTCGACTGTTGATGACGGAGGAATACACCGCTTACCACCGACCGACCATCCCGCGGTTTGACTTCTCCATGCCAGATGTGCGGTTCCCTCCATTGTGCTGAAGACGTGTGCTCCGATGTTGGCACCTGTTTTAACGCGTTTCTTCCGGTACTTCTACTCCTTAGGCGTTATCTCAAATTCATGGAAGACAGCTTTGGTTCACCCGATCCCTAAAAAGGCGACCGCTCAGACCCGTCAAACTACAGGCCTATCGCCATCACATCCTTGTTCTCCAAAATAATGGGATCCATTATAAACAGTTTTCGTCGGGGTTGATCAATTGGTGATCTTCTGGTCTATCTAACTCATAGATGCGCGGAGGCAGTAGAGTCCAAGGGGTAAGCATTGGCCGTTAGTTTGGACATTGCGAAGGCCTTCGATCGGGTTTGGCACAAAGCGCTTCTTTCGAATTCTTCCTATAGGCTTTCCGAGAAATTGTGCAATTGGATCACCAGTTTCCTTGCTGATCGGAGCATCAAGGTCGTAGTAGACGATGCATGCTTTGATTACAAGCCTATTGACGCTGGTGTACCACAAGGCTGCGTCCTATCACCAACGCTGTTTCTACTGCATATCAATGATATTTTTCAAACTGGTAACAACGACAGCACTGGTGATGGAATATACACCGGCCGTGCCAATATTTCTCGGGAAACGTCTCCGAGTACCGGAAGAAAAGTAAAGTAAAATAAAGTTGCAGCCTTTATACGTCCCACTGCTGGGCACAAGCCTCCTCTTATTTCTGAGAGGGTTTTAAGGCAAGTAAATGTCCGCCGCGCTGCCCCAATGCTTGTTGGCGAACTTCACATGTCTTCGAGATATATTTTTTTATTTCTCAGACATGCAAGTTTCCTCAGGATGTTTTCCTTCACCGCCGAGCACGTGGTAAGTCGGCACTTAAAATTGCAATTAATAATTTCACTGGTGCCGGCGGGGATCGATCCCGAGTTTGTCACGTACTGTGAGACATAAAGCGAGCGCTAACCATCTGAGCTACCACGGCGCTACCGGAATAAACTTGTGTCTGATGTCAATTCTTTGCTGAACAAACTCTCGGATTGAGGGCGCCTAAATCTAGTCCAGTTAAATCCCCAGAAGACACAAATTTGCACGTATACCGCTAAAAAGAACCCCTTTGTTGTATCTCCTCAATTTTAAGGCACTCCCCTTGCTGCCTCAGCTAGCATCGGAATCCTCGGCGTCGACATATCGAATAGTGTGCAGTTTTGGGGTCACTTGGAAGGGAATGCCAAATTGGCCTATAAAAAGCTTGGCGTGCTCAGCAGAGTATTAGTATTTCATGTCGGCACATCGCTTGCAACTTTACAAAGCGCAAATTCGGCCTCTCATTTCTCGGCCGGGGCACGCCAGTGTCAGCTCCTTCTACTTGACTGCATCCAGCGCAGAGCATTTCGAGTCGTCGACGTCCAAATTCTTTCTGATCGGCTCGATTGACTGGCACTGCATAGGGATGTTGCATCCCTTTTACATTTTCTATCGAATTTACCACGGGGAGTGCTCTGAGGAATTGTTTGGTTTAATTCCAGCCGCCAAATTTCACGAACGCACATCGCGTCAAAATTCACTATACCATCTTCACCATCTGGATGTTTGACGGGCCACGACTGTGTGTTTTACTAGGAGTTTTCTTCCTCGTACAACTTCTCTGTGGAATTGTTAACCACCGGCGATTTTTCCGGACCGATACGACTTAGGGACCTTCAAGAAAAGAGCTCACTCCTTTCTTAAAGGCTGGCAACGCACCTGCAATTCCCCTGGTGTTACGGTTGTTCATGGGTGGCAGTAGTCACTTACCATCACGTGACCCACATGCTCGTTTGCCCCCTTTTCTATAAGAAAACGTACGACGAGAAAACCCAAAAATCTAAGTGCTTGATTGAGGGCTGAATACGACTATTAGGGTGGTTTCTAGAACACTCATTATACCCAAATTAATCCAATAACGGTACTTGGCACGACCTGGGACACGATTTAAACCCAGGACCAAATCATGATTCACAGTCGCGCTAGTAACCACATACAGACAGACAAAATTATATACTTTCATGATATGTATTTAGTAAAAATCTGTTATTTTGACGTTATGTACAGACACTTCAATTTTATTTATTTATTTTATTTATTTAATATATTCAATTTTATTTATTTGAATAGTTTTGTATTCTTAAAGTATGAAAGTTTTTAAAAAATTCGAAAGTGATTACTATATTATTTTGATCTTGAGACGTCAGAAAACTTGGCTGCACTTTTAATAATTCTCTTTTATAATTCAATACATGATCGTAGATAACAGTGTAATTTATACTGATGATCTAGTTAATTGGGAGTTATTAATAATTACTTTAAATAAAAGACAGGATTTTTTAGTGTATGTATTTGGTTACAGTCGACAGCAAAGTATAGACAACAGCCGAATTTAATCAAAATGATTTGTTAGATTCAAATTATTTTTCTTTATTAATTTCAGTATCAGTTAATTTAATTTCGTCTATGTGGTTGCACTTTATTTAGAAAAGCTAATATTTTTAGTACCATCTTGTACGTACACACCATGATAAGATTTGCTCCAATTCCTCATTAATAAGATGTGAAAAATGGTAATTTCTTTTGTTAGAATTCTCTGAACATAACAAACAATTTTTTATCGTGTTTAGACATTTCTTCTAGTTAAACTTTACACCTCAGAAGTGGTCATTATTAATTTTGCAAAGACGGAGATAGAGGTTGTTCGTAATTACGAGCTTCTGAATTTTAAAAAAAAATGTGGTAATCTGCCTCACTTTAGTCTTAAATAGAACAAAAATACTATAACATATAATTTCATAAACTTTTAAAAATATCGTGTTCTGTTAAGAAAGTTCATCATTTATTTCGATTTATTACTAAAACTAATGACGTTGAAATAAAGATGCATAGCGTAATTTTAATAGAAAACGTTAAATATAATTAAATTCAATTTAAATATATAAAGTCAAATTAAACTTGATATCGAAACTTAATTTTAAAGTGAAGATAACGCATAATTAATTGAAACAGAACTTACATCTGTTATTTATAATAGGATCGTTGCTGAAAGATGAAAAAATATGAGGGAGTACGTCACAAGGTAGTCGCGTTGATGCAATGAATATATCGTGTATGTGTCTAATAACGTCGGGATTTAAACAGGGGCAGCCGTACAAAGATGGGTGCAAGCGGGGTAAGGGAGAAGGGGACATTACAAAACTTGGTTTTAACCGGTTAATTCTTACTACTTAAACCGAAATTTGTGAAAACCGGTATTCCGCAAAAACCGGTTTTGGGGTCATTGACCGAAACCGGTTTAGAATTTCAACCGGTTTCCGAGCCCTGGATTTGATAGACCACAAATCCTAGCTAAAGAACACCGATTCCCTCCAAGGATGATCCACAAAGCTATTGAAATCAAAAAACATCCTAATTTCAATAGAGAAGATAGCAGGGTGCTACCATCTGCTTTCTTATCATTAATAAAATTAAATCCCAACCCTAGCATACAAATGCAAGATACTAGCATTCAACTGCAAGATACTATAAGTTCATGCTGGATAGATCGGACCAAAAATTAATAAATTTAATCTGAAGGTAGCTGTATTTAACTGTGACATTGGGACATCGAACACCTCAGCGTCCACCTGAAAAGTCCTACTCGAAAAGTCGGGAATATAAAATAAGTTAATATACGCGATAAAACCCGTAAAAATTAGTTTTCTTTGAATGTATAATGTTCTGGTAAACATAAGAAATCATTATATCGTATAATGTTAGCATATTGGCATAACGTTCCTTATAATTTGAGGACGCTACAAAATTTCCTTCAATACTCATATTTTTTCCACGTCCCTTTGATAAGATGACTAAAGATAAGTATGTAATGAAAAATAATGTATCGTCGCATACAGTATCAAATTTTGATATAAACGATCACGATATTACACATATCACACGATATTATTACGAGGTTTGTGAAGAGTGGGACGTGTTAAATATGTTATGACAGCTATTGTCATATGTTCGCGAATAACTCTGCATCTAAACTACCGATCATGATACACGTCTGCACCACCAGACCTACATTCAGTATACCAAGATAATCGAATGTGAACCCTGCCTAGCTACGGTACGATTACGGTAAAGCTTACCGTAATAGTCTGACATAATTTCCAAATAAGAAAGTTACCTTTGAGAAAATAACTTATTCCTTTTCTAATGTTGTACATGGGCGGCGGTAGTGACTTAACATCAGATGAACCGGATGTCCGCTTACCTCCTATAAAAAAGTATCTCTCGGCTGCAGTACGGTATAATCTGGCTGCATTAGCCACTTACCAATAACTTTTACCTTTGTCAGTCTTATATTATAAAAAGTGTTATTCGGTCGGTGTATCACAAGACTTATCCATTGGCAGATCGAGGAGCTGATAGAGAACGACGAGGAGCTAGTGGAGCGCATCCACCAGTTCCAGGAGACGATCGGGCTGGAGCCGTCGTTCGGGAACGCGCGCAACCTGGTGACGGCATCGGCGCCGCCCGACCCCGACACGCCGAGCTCGCGCAAGCGCGGCGCGCGCCCCGGCCGCGCGCGCGACGCGCCGCCGCACCGCAAGCGCGCGCTCCGCATATAGCCGCGGGACCACGCGCGCCCTACTGCCTCCTTACCTTCGCCACAGTATAAACACTGTATTACAGTTTATAAACGCTTTTGATGTCAACCGATGCCGCCACCCGTGTATATAGGTATTTACTATTTACGCCATCATGTGCAAATATGCTAAGTTGTAAGAATATTTGAAATAAAATAATTTTGGATATTATTATACTCCTAATCATTTGTTAACTTTATGTATATACTTATAGGTTAAAAAATTATTTAACAATTTTTTCATAACTTCAAAAAAACATACATTTACACGTATCATTGCTCTACACAAGTACATTAATTTCACAACTGTTATACTCTCTTCAAACTGTGCCTTAGCAAATCGAATAGAAAATGCGAACATGATATAGGTGGTATGGAATCTTTCTGACACATAATTAGAACAGAAGGTTTCAAAATGCATCAGGTTTCATGCTGTTCCACATAATGTGAACATCTTTCGTGATGTGAGATATTAAGATACAGATATAGTCCACGGGCCAAATTATGTCTAAACATTTTTACTGTACGATCAACACTTTAGGAGATACAGAGTTAATACTCTGTATACTAAGGTGATAAAAATAAGAAACAAAATCGTTATACTTTGACAAAGATGATAAATCGCGCCAATAAGATCGGCACATGTTCCATTCGTTGTTTGCCTCTTGCATTTGGAGTACGAATTGGCTCCCTACGACTGGCTTTATTTAATGGTGGCTTAATAAGGAAACAAAAAAAACGCCTTTATATTATGATGTTTTATCGAAATCCGACACTAATGTAAATTTGAAAACTAGTGAGACGGTTATTGATGGTGGCTTTCTTTTGCACCGTACCAAGTGACAATTTTACTCCTCTTACTCAGACATATGTGATCAGTACCTAAATTATGTAAAATGTCATTAAATGGCCACATTCTACCGTCGTGTTTGATGGATACAATGACGTAAGAAACAGTACAAAAACATCTGAACAAAGAAGGAGGGCGGTGAAATCGTCTGTTGATATAAACATCAATCTCATAATATTATTTGTCAAACCGAGAAAAGGGAAAGTGGAAACCAAAATATTTCCCTCCCGAGAACTTCAAAAACATCCATTTTTTTGTTCTATTCTCCTTCTGCATAGTTTCTGTGGGTATAATACAACCACAGCTACTTAGGGGAAGGACAAAACATCAATTATCAAGCTTTTTGATCAAAAGCCATTACTAAAGAAACATCAACTCCGGATGTTAAAGCAGAAGCAGGAGAAAAAATGTTTCTGGAAGTATACCGAGCGCCCTGTACTCCCCCCCCCCCTCACCGCCGGCTTGTGTCCTTCCCTCGGGGACTTTTAGGATACCTTAAGGAATAACTGTACCAACTTTCAAGACTACAGGAATTATTTGGTCTAATCGACGATTTTGAACCTAATTTTCTTTTACTAATATTCTGCCAATAAAAAGACAATTGCAATACATATTTACGTGATTTTTATATATTCGATTTATTTCAAAACCGCTTTTTGATAGTCTGCGGTTGTTCGTTATGGCATGTTTAGCGTGGTACATCACTATCGTAAGTGGGCGGTACCCATCCATGAAGTACAACAATATCTGTATGACAGTTTATATTTAAAAAATTACGAAACTTCATAGGTGTGAGCTGTCAAAATTATCAAGCTAAATTTGACAGAGTATAATTACCAAGTACTTGAATTCCTTTAAAAGCTCTTTAATTTCGTCCTCGATGGTGAGACTACTCCGGGGGTGTAGAGCAGAAGTGCGGTTTTCTTGTTCTTCAAGAAAGACCACCGCTCGCTCGGTTGAAGAACTACATACCAATTTCCCTTTTGAGCCGCGTCTACGTGCTGTTTTTGCGAGTCATTACGAATCGTCTCGCACGCAGGCTCGACGACTTCCAGCCTCCCGAACAAGGCGGTTTCCGAAAAGGCCACCATAGACCACATACATACCCTTCGGCGAATTGTACAGAAGACCAAAGACTACAATCTGTAGCCTCTTTGTCTTGCATATGTGGATTATGCAAAAGCCTTTGATTCCGTCGAAATTTGGGCGGTGCTGCAGTCCCTTCAGCGATGCTAAGTAGACTGTCGGTATATCGAAGTGCTGAAATGTTTGTACAGTAGGGCTACGATGGCTATCCGAGTCAGTGGCGGATTTACACATTTGCCGCCAGTAGGCTATTGAAATTTTGCCGCCCCTACCGACCTCTACAATTCGATACCACAATGATATGAAAATACCATTCGATATCACATTTAAATTAATTATAATTTTTTGGTCAATGAAATTGTAAGTTTTTGATTTGTGCACTATCGTCCTAATTACTCCACCTTTTTCTTCCTTATTAGTATAATAGTGAACTAGACGATTGATGTGTCAGTTCCTAGATTATTTTTACTATCCAATGATTAGTTAAGATTGCACAAGAAATAGTTTTTGGTTATATTTCTGATCTAATAAAGGCTCAATCATATACTAATAATAAGGCATGCTGCCTTAATACTACTTACAGAATTATGTACATTCGGTAAAAAGCGCAATTAAATATTTTTTTTGCGCTTACTTACAGTTTAGAAACAATAATTCATAATAATAAGTAATACCTTTTTGCGCGATTTCCTATTCGCATACACATGAGTTATAACGTCGTATGAAATCTTATACATTAGTTCTAACTCTATGCACAAAAGAGCTAAGGAGTTTAGTTTTTCTTGGCTTAAGGTAAATCTTAGATAATTTTTCACCCGATTTAAGCAAGAAAAGCCTTCTCGTAGTGTAGTAGTAGTGTAGTGTAGAGGTAGAGCTATGCGAACTGCTATTAATTATATAAATTTTGAATAAACGTTTTGCAAATTCTGTTGCAGGAACGAAGATAGACTTTTCAGTAATCCAGAATAAACTTTCAGATTTCCTCAAAATTTTTTCAGAAGAAAGTTAGCATTGAAAATAAATGAATGGTATCAACTAAGTCAGTCTCTAATACATTTCTTGAAAGAAAATGCTTCTCCCGTAAGGGTTGATGATGACAATCCACTCATTTTGATCAGAAATTAAAACTTTTCATTAAACCTGTTGTAGGCCTCCTGCCGTTTTTTTTTTTTAATTCGGATACAAGTCTAACAATGAGGATGAGATATGTGTTAACCCTAAAAGTATTACAACGTCTGTACAAGATTCAGCAGCTGCCATTAAATTTAAAGAGTGGGCAGGGCAAGGAACGAAGAAAGCAAACGGTGCTTGGCTTTGAATTTTAGCCATTAGTAAGCCATTGTACACATCGTACATGTTCGCGACATCATCATATGTTTTGAATTCCGAAATAATGGCAGAAAACACTTCTTCAGCTTTGTGCCCCACAGAGCAAAAACTTGAGAAATATTTCACAGGGTTCGTCTGTTTCCAAAACGTAAGTTGGTCCACATGAACCATATCTGGCGTTGAATCTATAATAAGGAAAAATATTTCGCCCTTCTTATCTCGTCTCCAATTCTGTTTTAAGACTTTATGACCCATCAAGAGAATAAACTCATCGCAAACGGTTTTTGATAAGTAATTAGTACTTCCAGATTCTTGATTCCCAAATCGTTAAATATGACTGGCTAAAAAAGGATCAAATTCAGCTAACAGTTTAATTTTCGTTGTGCAGATCAGCGAACTTTTAATTTTTTCCTCTGAAAGTAAGGCCTCTTGAACACAGTCACTTCATTACGGCAACGAACTTCTTCTCAACGTGTCTCAATAAGTAATTTCTTCATCGATCTAGACATGCAGTAAATTGTGGTGTCGACCATCAATCTCACTTCTAACTTTCACACTAAGTATACTAGATTTATGACGCGCAGAGTTTTCATGCTGAGCTACTCGGTATTCTGCATTTTTAAAGTCATTAAATCTTTCGTTCTCAAACTGAGTCTTATTCTCCGATGGACCGAATGCCAAACAGGGCCCATAATATACAGATCTTTTACTACAGAATAAGCCAGTTAATTTCGGTCATTTACATCATTATTTTTCATTTTTCTTTGGAAGACACTTATTGGCAAGAAACGACGCTGATCAGCATATATTTTTTCACTTTTAAAGAAGTCACAAGACTTGCTTTGATCGAAGCCGTAACTTGTGATAATCTCCCTTACGGTATCGTTGATTTTCTATAAAGCTGGATCTCTGTATAGATTTACTGCTGTTTGCGCTCGGTTATTTCTTAACGTCTGATTCTGAGACGCATCTTCAATTGTTATATTTATTGGTGATTCCTCTATGGTCTCTTCGTCAAAAACATAAATATCCGGTTTTTTTTAAGTAGATGGGTCAATAGATGACTTTCGTTGTTGAGCCGCAGAGTTCAAATATGATTCATCTTTATCTGATTGTATGGTGGCAGTGCATGTTATTGAAGTTCCTGGTCTTTCAACATTAAAAAGCTGTCGATTTTATCGCTTTACGGATATCCTTGTTCTTCTTTTTCATTATGGCCTTTGTCCCATCACTCAATCTATTTTTTTTAAAAGAACTATAATAAAAAAGACTATATTTTCTCTCGGAGCGTCGCGCTCATGTAGTCAATTCGGCATTTCGGTCAGACACACTTAGCGAATGGTCATGTCACTCGTTCTCGCGCTACAATCAAACGCGATTACGCAAAATGTAGAAAAATTTATCTAAGTGGTGAAACATATTACATGTTAAATTGTTTGTGGATATAATAACATTTAGGTATATAAATATGAATCTCTTTAATTTCTGTAATGGGGCGTCTAAACGGGCTATATTACGACAATTTGTGGCTGCAATTATTTGCAAACATTGCCCAGCCATCAAAAAAACATTTTAGTGCATTTTATGGCTGAGCAATCAATAGCAGGCAACATGTTGCAATATGGCTGCAATAGTATGGCCTTTGATTCAGAACCCTTTAATGAGCCACACAATCCAGCAACAATGGCCGACGAAATGACGCTCATCGCAGCCGCTTACATTGTTTTGGCAAAAAACGAAAAAAAAGGACACGAATGTGGATTCGACCCTATCTAAGTAGGCGTGACACTTTGGATTCCGTAGACAAGGAATTAATGCTGGATAAATACTTATTTAAAAATTTTACAAAAATGTCTAAGAGCTACTTCGAATTTCTTGTGAACAGAATTGGACCAAACATACAAAGGCAAGATACAAACATGAGGAATGCAATACCTGTGACTACAAGATTAGCAATAACTCTACGGTATTTAGCGACTGGAGATTCTTTCAAGAGTTTAATGTACCTTTTCAGAATGACAGCTTATTCAATTTCAACTATTGTCCCAGAGGTTTGTGAAGCCTTAATAGAAGGCTTAAAGGAATACATAAAGGCAAGTAAATATTTAAGTATTTATTAAGTGCACATTTAATTTTGTTCGACGTAGAATCAATGAATTTGCGAATCACTATTGACAGTTAGTCACAAGTTCTTCATAAGCAATATTTCCAGTTAACTGGGTGTGGTGTAGATCAGCATACTGTTGTGGTGGAGACTGATAAGGAGCGGTATATTCTTGAGTCATAGGCTGCCGAGTATTTTGTCGTGATATGTATTGCGACATCTCTGAATATTGGGATTGAGAAGTGCTAGCTCTTTCTCCGCTATCGCCAGCAGGACTCTGTGTAAACGAAGCTGGATTTCTGTATTTTCCCATGTCACAGTCAAATAAAATTTTCATTATGTTGAATTCTGCCTGAGCACGGGTATAGTCATCATATTTACTTAACTTGTTTGCTATATGCTCTGCGAAACCAGCAAATTCATTTCTTCTTTTTTCACCTGCTTCAAGTATAATGTTTTGAGCCTTTTCCAAAATGGGATCTGCAGTCTTGGACTTCTTAGAAGCACGTGGTTTTGGAGAGGGAACAGAGCAAAGCAGAGAGTCCGTTGTTTCTGAAAGTACCTCTTGGTCAGCAATGCTACTAGTCTCTTGGGCTTCAGTCCCCTGAAAACGAAAGAAATATTGAATATAATTAAAAAGGAACCTTTATTTTACAGATGCCATCACAAGCGACTGAATGGAAACGAGTCGCAAAGAATTTTGAAGACCGTTGGAATTTTCCTCACTGTTTGGGTGCAATGGATGGCAAGCACATTAGAACTATTTGTCCACCCAACAGTGGTACTCAATATTTTAATTATAAGCAGTTTTTTAGCGTAGTGCTATTCGCGGTAACAGACGCAAGGTACAATTTTTTGTATGTACATGCTGAAGTTCAGGGAAGAATATCCGATGTGGGAGTTTTTAGTCATACGGCTTTTGGGCAAGCACTCCTGAACCAAAATCGTGACATACCACATTGTGAACCCCTTCCGGGTCGAGAAGTATCTACACCATATGTTTTCTTGGCAGATGATGCATTTCCCTTAACCGAAAATATTTGCAAGCCCTATACTGTAGATTTGAACATAGGATCTCCTAAGCGAGTATGTAACTACAGAATATCTAGAGCACGCCGAATTGTGGAAAACTCATTTGGAATTTTGGCATCCATTTTTCGTATACTACATACTACTATCAATGTTGAGATGAAAGATGTACAAAATATAGTTATGGCTTGTGCATATTTACATAACTTTTTGCGACGAAATACAAGAGCACAAGCTTTATATTCACCACCTGGGACCTTTGACAGGGAAGATATTGACCTTGGAACGGTGATCCCAGGATCATGGCAAGCTGATGGAGAGCGTTTAACAGATTTAAGAGTATTGGGAAGGAACTCAACAATGAGAGCAAAAGCGATTAGAGATGAATTTATGCATTATTTTATGACAGAGCGGGGACGAGTGGCATGGCAGGACTAATATTTAGGAAATCAATAATCTATTAATAAATATAGGTACATACATTTTCTGTTGCATTTTCACTATCCAGTCTTGTTTTTGGAGTATCTTGACTAAGAATAAACGACATCGCATCGTAAGCAAACCATTTTGTTTGTTTGCCGCCAGCACTACCACTTTTATTCTTTTTTCTTTCCTCATTCTTCACATAAGTTCGCAGGCTTCGGAATTTCTTGTAAGCGTCATCACTTGATATATCAAACTTAGTAGCAACAATAGACCATGCATCTTTTTTTGCATTATTGTCTTTATACATTCCTGTTTCCACATTCCATATTTCAGGATGTAATTGCACTTCATTAATAAAGTCAAGAGTCTTCTCATTAGACCAAGTATTAGTCATTTTAATTTATTTTCTAAACAACACAAGAATGACAGCTGCTGACAGCACAGAATATCGCCACACCACAGATTTATACACGATGGACGTCGCAGCACTCTTCACGTCGCGCAGAAAGTGAAACGCAAAGTACTTCACGTCGCAGGGAGAAAGTGACGCGCATATACAGTAAAACAGAACAACAATATAGATGGCCCAGATATATTGCAGTATTTTCGATTGCGAGGCGATCGTTCGGCCACACGCCGGCTACTCATAAAAACATTTTGACATATAGTTCATTTCAAATAGGATGGCAGGATTCCACTTGAGACTTAGCAATTACAGCTGTAATGTTAATCTATTGTTGTGTGATTATTTTATTGCTTTAACACTTGAAGTTAAGCATCTGTTGATAATACTGAACCAGTATAGCTGGAATGACGAATTTTGGTACTTGAACATTAAAACAAATTAAATTGTAGATAAAAAACCTTTATTACTTTTAACTTAACTATTTTAAATACTTATAACAACTTGTTAATATTTTGTTTAATCAATCACTCTGAAGAACATTCATCGGTATCTGTGTCCTCACACGTATTTATTATAAATGGTTGTATCCGATCCCTCGAAAATTCGTTTTCCACTCTTATGACATGGTCACAAACATTCTTCCAAAAAATTTTTTTAAAGATTTTTTATCTACAATTTAATTTGTTTTAATGTTCAAGTAACCAAAATTCGTCATTCCAGCTATACTGGTTCAGTATTATCAACAGATGCTTAACTTCAAGTGTTAAAGCAATAAAATAATCACACAACAATAGATTAACATTACAGCTGTAATTGCTAAGTGTCAAGTGGAATCCTGCCATCCTATTTGAAATGAACTATACCAAAAAATATGTGGCTATAATGCCGGGCCATTCTTAAAATATTGCATAGTGTGGCTGGTATTGCTAGCAATGTTGCCGGCCACAGTATTGCAGCCACAAATTGTCGTAAAATATAGCCTGTTTAGACGCCCCTAAAACACAAAAAAAATTGGACCCAAATTTGCCGCCCCCAAAATCTGCCGCCCTAGGCTCCAGCCTACTCAGCCTGCTGGTAAATCCGCCACTGATCCGAGTACAGAAACGAAACCTATTCAACTGCAGATAGGTGTAAGACATAGTGGTGTTACGTAATGTTACGAAAAAATATTTATAATAAATACGTAACGCTACAAAAAATATTTTTTCATTTCATGGCACTAGGTAACGAGAAAGCTCGCAATTTGCGATTAAAATAAAAATTTGCGAATTATTCTCCAAAAAATTTGCTACAATTTATGTCGAAACCTGGAAAGCTGGATTGAATTCCAATATCGCATAAAGCAATACTAAAAAAATAATAAAAAGACGACTGTAATCGATGTAAGAGGACCGGACATCATACCACTGTTTTATTTTTAAAACTGAACGTTCCGTTTAATGGTAAAGAAAAGTACAGCTGTACTTTTCTAATTATTGTCCAATTACAATTCTAATTATTGAATTCATTTCTAATTATTGTCCAATTACAATTCTATCTACTCTGTCGATGACCTTCAAGGCAGTAGTATAATATGTTAACCTGTACAATCATGAAAGCCAGTTATTAATAGCAATCAACACGGTTTCGTAACAAAACGATTTACAAATACTAAACTTGTAGATCATGTTTTAAATCTAATTGAAGTAGTTGATAATGGTTTGCAAACTGACAGCATATTCGATAGTGTCGACCATCCAACACAAGGTTTTGTTGTAACCAGAACTTTTGTTTTGTGTAAATATTACATAGAGCCACGACTACTTATGGTTGTACAGTCAGGAATGCCACAAGGATCTTGTCTGTGTCCATTGTTTTTTACATTCTTCATAAACGAGATTACCTCATCTTTGAAGAATTCGATAGTAAAACCAATAAAAGATAAAGAACCCTTGAACCATAACAATCTAATTACGTGGTGCGAGCACAATAATATATTATCGCTAAATCCATCTAAATGTCGGTATATAAATTTTTAATTGGTTGTTTTTATGGGTTTTTTTATTATGTCAAAGTAAATCTACAAGAACACACTTAGCTAGCTTTAAAGTTGAGCTTTATATACTTAGGTCGTAGTGTTTTTAGAATTATCATAACAGCACGATACTTCTAAAAACACCTTGGCCTAAGTATTTAAAGCTAAACATTTTTTTATGTTTATCGATCATTACTCCCTTTCAAAGAAGCTAATGGTCGATAACAATAAGTGTCCTACTCTACGACACAGGCGCGCGCGCACTTGCGCCGTCGCCTTTGAAGAGCGCCGCGTGCCTCGTGCCGCTTGTTTATGGACGCCGCCAAAAGACACCGCTGTCAATACGTTGCAATAGTTTGCACTGCGTGGCAACTTCGCTTTTTAATGTTCAAGGATTCAAGTTCATTGAATCATTGACTTAGTGACTTAGTTATTCTATAGAGTTCAAATTTTCTTAAAATAAAAACTCAATTTTTTTTGCAAGGTGAGTGATCAAACCTACAGTAGAAGTCTAAATTTATACATTTACTTTGTTAACTCTTTCCAAAAAACCTACACTACAATGATTACCAATGTTTCAAGTTTTTCTAAATTTAAAAGTATTCCCGTCACTTCGTTTTGCGTTACAAACAGGCAGGCTTTTTGGTACAATCATTCTTGATTGATTCCATAGTTTTAAGGACTTCATGCCAAGTAACTCTCTTAAACTTCTTCCTGCGTCCTCTCTAGCTGACCAACGTGTCAGATTTATTCTCTTTAGTGTGTTCCCTTTCCCTATTTCAGTCAATAATTTTTGCCAGCGTTGTGCTGAATTTACAAAAAATACGTAAATTTTTGAAGCAACATGAAGAAGCAACAAACGTCTGTACAAGATTCAGCAGCTGCCATTAAATTTAAAGAGTGGGCAGGGCAAGGAACGTAGAAAGCAAACGGTGCTTGACTTTGAATTTTAGCCATTAGTAAGCCATTGTACACATCGGACATGTTCGCGACATTATCATATGTTTTGAATTCCGAAATAATGGCAGAAAACACTTCTTCAGCTTTGTGCCCCACTGAGAGCAAAAACTTGAGAAATATTTCACAGGGTTCGTCTGTTTCCAAAACGTAAGTTGGTCCACATGAACCATATCTGGCGTTGAATCTATAATAAGGAAAAATATTTCGCCCTTCTTATCTCGTCTACAATCTGTTTTAAGACTTTATGACCCATCAAGAGAATAAACTCATCGCAAACGGTTTTTGATAAGTAATTAGTACTTCCAGATTCTTGATTCTCAAATCGTTAAATATGACTGGCTAAAAAAGGATCAAATTCAGCTAACAGTTTAATTTTCGTTGTGCAGATAAGCGAACTTTTAATTTTTTCCTCTGAAAGTGAGGCCTCTTGAACACAGTCACTTCATTACGGCAACGAACTTCTTCTCAACGTGTCTCAATAAGTAATTTCTTCATCGATCTAGACATGCAGTAAATTGTGGTGTCGACCATCAATCTCACTTCTAACTTTCACACTAAGTATACTAGATTTATGACGCGCAGAGTTTTCATGCTGAGCTACTCGGTATTCTGCATTTTTAAAGTCATTAAATCTTTCGTTCTCAAACTGAGTCTTATTCTCCGATGGACCGAATGCCAAACAGGGCCCATAATATACAGATCTTTTACTACAGAATAAGCCAGTCAATTTCGGTCATTTACATCATTATTTTTCATTTTTCTTCGGAAGACACTTATTGGCAAGAAACGACGCTGATCAGCATATATTTTTTCACTTTTAGAGAAGTCACAAGACTTGCTTTGATCGAAGCCGTAACTTGCAATAATCTCCCTTACGGTATCGTTGATTTTCTATAAAGCTGGATCTCTGTATAGATTTACTGCTGTTTGCACTCGGTTATTTCTTAACGTCTGATTCTGAGACGCATCTTCAATTGTTATATTTATTGGTGATTCCTCTATGGTCTCTTCGTCAAAAACATAAATATCCGGTTTTTTTTAAGTAGATGGGTCAATAGATGACTTTCGTTGTTGAGCCGCAGAGTTCAAATATGATTCATCTTTATCTGATTGTATGGTGGCAGTGCATGTTATTGAAGTTCCTGGTCTTTCAACATTAAAAAGCTGTCGATTTTATCGCTTTACGGATATCCTTGTTCTTCTTTTTCATTATGGCCTTTGTCCCATCACTCAATCTATTTTTTTTAAAAGAACTATAATAAAAAAGACTATATTTTCTCTCGGAGCGTCGCGCTCATGTAGTCAATTCGGCATTTCGGTCAGACACACTTAGCGAATGGTCATGTCACTCGTTCTCGCGCTACAATCAAACGCGATTACGCAAAATGTAGAAAAATTTATCTAAGTGGTGAAACATATTACATGTTAAATTGTTTGTGGATATAATAACATTTAGGTATATAAATATGAATCTCTTTAATTTCTGTAATGGGGCGTCTAAACGGGCTATATTACGACAATTTGTGGCTGCAATTATTTGCAAACATTGCCCAGCCATCAAAAAAACATTTTAGTGCATTTTATGGCTGAGCAATCAATAGCAGGCAACATGTTGCAATATGGCTGCAATAGTATGGCCTTTGATTCAGAACCCTTTAATGAGCCACACAATCCAGCAACAATGGCCGACGAAATGACGCTCATCGCAGCCGCTTACATTGTTTTGGCAAAAAACGAAAAAAAAGGACACGAATGTGGATTCGACCCTATCTAAGTAGGCGTGACACTTTGGATTCCGTAGACAAGGAATTAATGCTGGATAAATACTTATTTAAAAAATTTACAAAAATGTCTAAGAGCTACTTCGAATTTCTTGTGAACAGAATTGGACCAAACATACAAAGGCAAGATACAAACATGAGGAATGCAATACCTGTGACTACAAGATTAGCAATAACTCTACGGTATTTAGCGACTGGAGATTCTTTCAAGAGTTTAATGTACCTTTTCAGAATGACAGCTTATTCAATTTCAACTATTGTCCCAGAGGTTTGTGAAGCCTTAATAGAAGGCTTAAAGGAATACATAAAGGCAAGTAAATATTTAAGTATTTATTAAGTGCACATTTAATTTTGTTCGACGTAGAATCAATGAATTTGCGAATCACTATTGACAGTTAGTCACAAGTTCTTCATAAGCAATATTTCCAGTTAACTGGGTGTGGTGTAGATCAGCATACTGTTGTGGTGGAGACTGATAAGGAGCGGTATATTCTTGAGTCATAGGCTGCCGAGTATTTTGTCGTGATATGTATTGCGACATCTCTGAATATTGGGATTGAGAAGTGCTAGCTCTTTCTCCGCTATCGCCAGCAGGACTCTGTGTAAACGAAGCTGGATTTCTGTATTTTCCCATGTCACAGTCAAATAAAATTTTCATTATGTTGAATTCTGCCTGAGCACGGGTATAGTCATCATATTTACTTAACTTGTTTGCTATATGCTCTGCGAAACCAGCAAATTCATTTCTTCTTTTTTCACCTGCTTCAAGTATAATGTTTTGAGCCTTTTCCAAAATGGGATCTGCAGTCTTGGACTTCTTAGAAGCACGTGGTTTTGGAGAGGGAACAGAGCAAAGCAGAGAGTCCGTTGTTTCTGAAAGTACCTCTTGGTCAGCAATGCTACTAGTCTCTTGGGCTTCAGTCCCCTGAAAACGAAAGAAATATTGAATATAATTAAAAAGGAACCTTTATTTTACAGATGCCATCACAAGCGACTGAATGGAAACGAGTCGCAAAGAATTTTGAAGACCGTTGGAATTTTCCTCACTGTTTGGGTGCAATGGATGGCAAGCACATTAGAACTATTTGTCCACCCAACAGTGGTACTCAATATTTTAATTATAAGCAGTTTTTTAGCGTAGTGCTATTCGCGGTAACAGACGCAAGGTACAATTTTTTGTATGTACATGCTGAAGTTCAGGGAAGAATATCCGATGTGGGAGTTTTTAGTCATACGGCTTTTGGGCAAGCACTCCTGAACCAAAATCGTGACATACCACATTGTGAACCCCTTCCGGGTCGAGAAGTATCTACACCATATGTTTTCTTGGCAGATGATGCATTTCCCTTAACCGAAAATATTTGCAAGCCCTATACTGTAGATTTGAACATAGGATCTCCTAAGCGAGTATGTAACTACAGAATATCTAGAGCACGCCGAATTGTGGAAAACTCATTTGGAATTTTGGCATCCATTTTTCGTATACTACATACTACTATCAATGTTGAGATGAAAGATGTACAAAATATAGTTATGGCTTGTGCATATTTACATAACTTTTTGCGACGAAATACAAGAGCACAAGCTTTATATTCACCACCTGGGACCTTTGACAGGGAAGATATTGACCTTGGAACGGTGATCCCAGGATCATGGCAAGCTGATGGAGAGCGTTTAACAGATTTAAGAGTATTGGGAAGGAACTCAACAATGAGAGCAAAAGCGATTAGAGATGAATTTATGCATTATTTTATGACAGAGCGGGGACGAGTGGCATGGCAGGACTAATATTTAGGAAATCAATAATCTATTAATAAATATAGGTACATACATTTTCTGTTGCATTTTCACTATCCAGTCTTGTTTTTGGAGTATCTTGACTAAGAATAAACGACATCGCATCGTAAGCAAACCATTTTGTTTGTTTGCCGCCAGCACTACCACTTTTATTCTTTTTTCTTTCCTCATTCTTCACATAAGTTCGCAGGCTTCGGAATTTCTTGTAAGCGTCATCACTTGATATATCAAACTTAGTAGCAACAATAGACCATGCATCTTTTTTTGCATTATTGTCTTTATACATTCCTGTTTCCACATTCCATATTTCAGGATGTAATTGCACTTCATTAATAAAGTCAAGAGTCTTCTCATTAGACCAAGTATTAGTCATTTTAATTTATTTTCTAAACAACACAAGAATGACAGCTGCTGACAGCACAGAATATCGCCACACCACAGATTTATACACGATGGACGTCGCAGCACTCTTCACGTCGCGCAGAAAGTGAAACGCAAAGTACTTCACGTCGCAGGGAGAAAGTGACGCGCATATACAGTAAAACAGAACAACAATATAGATGGCCCAGATATATTGCAGTATTTTCGATTGCGAGGCGATCGTTCGGCCACACGCCGGCTACTCATAAAAACATTTTGACATATAGTTCATTTCAAATAGGATGGCAGGATTCCACTTGAGACTTAGCAATTACAGCTGTAATGTTAATCTATTGTTGTGTGATTATTTTATTGCTTTAACACTTGAAGTTAAGCATCTGTTGATAATACTGAACCAGTATAGCTGGAATGACGAATTTTGGTACTTGAACATTAAAACAAATTAAATTGTAGATAAAAAACCTTTATTACTTTTAACTTAACTATTTTAAATACTTATAACAACTTGTTAATATTTTGTTTAATCAATCACTCTGAAGAACATTCATCGGTATCTGTGTCCTCACACGTATTTATTATAAATGGTTGTATCCGATCCCTCGAAAATTCGTTTTCCACTCTTATGACATGGTCACAAACATTCTTCCAAAAAATTTTTTTAAAGATTTTTTATCTACAATTTAATTTGTTTTAATGTTCAAGTAACCAAAATTCGTCATTCCAGCTATACTGGTTCAGTATTATCAACAGATGCTTAACTTCAAGTGTTAAAGCAATAAAATAATCACACAACAATAGATTAACATTACAGCTGTAATTGCTAAGTGTCAAGTGGAATCCTGCCATCCTATTTGAAATGAACTATACCAAAAAATATGTGGCTATAATGCCGGGCCATTCTTAAAATATTGCATAGTGTGGCTGGTATTGCTAGCAATGTTGCCGGCCACAGTATTGCAGCCACAAATTGTCGTAAAATATAGCCTGTTTAGACGCCCCTAAAACACAAAAAAAATTGGACCCAAATTTGCCGCCCCCAAAATCTGCCGCCCTAGGCTCCAGCCTACTCAGCCTGCTGGTAAATCCGCCACTGATCCGAGTACAGAAACGAAACCTATTCAACTGCAGATAGGTGTAAGACATAGTGGTGTTACGTAATGTTACGAAAAAATATTTATAATAAATACGTAACGCTACAAAAAATATTTTTTCATTTCATGGCACTAGGTAACGAGAAAGCTCGCAATTTGCGATTAAAATAAAAATTTGCGAATTATTCTCCAAAAAATTTGCTACAATTTATGTCGAAACCTGGAAAGCTGGATTGAATTCCAATATCGCATAAAGCAATACTAAAAAAATAATAAAAAGACGACTGTAATCGATGTAAGAGGACCGGACATCATACCACTGTTTTATTTTTAAAACTGAACGTTCCGTTTAATGGTAAAGAAAAGTACAGCTGTACTTTTCTAATTATTGTCCAATTACAATTCTTATTATTGAATTCATTTCTAATTATTGTCCAATTACAATTCTATCTACTCTGTCGATGACCTTCAAGGCAGTAGTATAATATGTTAACCTGTACAATCATGAAAGCCAGTTATTAATAGCAATCAACACGGTTTCGTAACAAAACGATTTACAAATACTAAACTTGTAGATCATGTTTTAAATCTAATTGAAGTAGTTGATAATGGTTTGCAAACTGACAGCATATTCGATAGTGTCGACCATCCAACACAAGGTTTTGTTGTAACCAGAACTTTTGTTTTGTGTAAATATTACATAGAGCCACGACTACTTATGGTTGTACAGTCAGGAATGCCACAAGGATCTTGTCTGTGTCCATTGTTTTTTACATTCTTCATAAACGAGATTACCTCATCTTTGAAGAATTCGATAGTAAAACCAATAAAAGATAAAGAACCCTTGAACCATAACAATCTAATTACGTGGTGCGAGCACAATAATATATTATCGCTAAATCCATCTAAATGTCGGTATATAAATTTTTAATTGGTTGTTTTTATGGGTTTTTTTATTATGTCAAAGTAAATCTACAAGAACACACTTAGCTAGCTTTAAAGTTGAGCTTTATATACTTAAGTCGTAGTGTTTTTAGAATTATCATAACAGCACGATACTTCTAAAAACACCATGGCCTAAGTATTTAAAGCTAAACATTTTTTTATGTTTATCGATCATTACTCCCTTTCAAAGAAGCTAATGGTCGATAACAATAAGTGTCCTACTCTACGACACAGGCGCGCGCGCACTTGCGCCGTCGCCTTTGAAGAGCGCCGCGTGCCTCGTGCCGCTTGTTTATGGACGCCGCCAAAAGACACCGCTGTCAATACGTTGCAATAGTTTGCACTGCGTGGCAACTTCGCTTTTTAATGTTCAAGGATTCAAGTTCATTGACTTAGTGGCTTAGTTATTCTATAGAGAGTTCAAATTTGCTTAAAATTAAAACTATTTTTTGACCTAGTTACTGGACCGATTACGTTCATTTTTTGTATATCGTCAGCACAGGCGATACCAAGTATGTGGTTTCATTTATTGCCTAATATGTGGGACCCATTCTGTATAACGATAGCATTTTATAATATTATTTAGTTATGGAAATAAATTTTATAAGTGCTTTTTTAATATTTATGTCTTTAGTTAGTAATTTTTTTGTTCCTTGTAGGGGTTTCCTGCCCCGGTATACTTTAAATAAAATAATTACAAAATTTAAAATCAAAATGATTTTTATTTTCTGATGCATTACCTTCCTTATACCATCCTTATATTTATTTTGTGTGAAATCAGTTTTACTGTTTAAATAATTCAAAAAAGTTATAAATACATAGAGGAAGTGCAGCAAATTTGAAATACTGCAGGTAATTTGGAATACTTGTATATCTCTATTAAAGTAAATGAGTACTAAAAACAGAGAGCCATCTTGACATTACTACTGACAGCCACACGGGAACGAAATGTCTACTTTGAAAACTTTTTCGGTAAGAATGTAATCCTTGTCAATCGTTTACTATGATATACAAAATCTTCATTGTATGATGGGCGTTCAATCTCTTCTCGGAATTAGGATGATTTAGTAATAATGTGGGTAATTAAAAAAAATCATTAGCTAACGACACAAATAAAATAAAATTTCATATTTCGACACCTCCATGCAATAACATCGAAACTCATTTTTTTCCATAAATTGCGTTACAATGATATTGCTATGTAAAAAATACAATTTTTCTGTACAATCACTGTAATTCTGCTCCCATTCGTTTTTTAAAATAATATATAAATGTCAAAGTATACAAATACATAACAAATAAGTAGTTTTTTTTCAACAATATCGTTGCAACTTGATTTACAAGTTATAGAAAATACTACGAGTAGCAACTCAAACAAATAAGGTGCTTTAGGGTAAATCCGACATATTTTCTGATTAGTTGATACGATGCATATTTAATAATTATTTTTAAGAAATCTAACCAAGTTTACAACCAACTCATGTCACTTTTATTTATTGAAATACATATCCTAATTATTTTGTTATTCATCTTAATGAAATGTCTTTGCGTTGCGTAAATACGATCATTTAAAATTTGACATATTTTTCTTCTGGATAAGGTATAATTCCGATATAACGCGGGGTAAAACCGAAAATTCGATAAAGTGTTCCTTTTTGACTTTCGGCAGAAGATTTGGATTTACTTTTCGTTTTCTATACCCCTCTACAAAAAGCATTGATACATACTTTATGTTTCTAATTTAACTATATTTTGCTCACTTGAATTTTCGGAATTACCCCACGTCAAGCCCAGTGTTGCTAAATATTAGATTAAAGCACCACCACGGCAGCGCACCTTGCGTTTCCGTAGTTGGACAGTTATTAGGCTAGTTAAAGAGGTTTCTTCAAACTTTTATAAAAGGTAAGCGAGAAGAAAAAAAAATTTTTTTATACATTTCTATATCTATATTTTAATGAGTCAAAGTATCCGAATTCGGGATTTTTCAAACCTTTAAAAACGAATAACTCCGAAAATATTATCTTTATCGTAAAACGTCATAGGTCCTTTTTATTTATATTTTGCCAACAAATATAAAAAAATATTTTTTTATACTTTATTCTTTTTCTTTACGCACTTTTAATGGGTTAATAGGGTAATTAAAGTATCCGAAATTGGGATTTTTCAAGCCTTTAACAATTCGCAGCTTTGAAGATATTAAATTTATCGTAAAAAAACACGGGACTCTTTTTATTCGTATTTTATCAAAGAATATAAAAAAATTGTCAAACAATTTAAGTTTAAACGATACCTACGGCACCGAGTTACACCATGGCAACATGCATTTATATCAACAGTAGGACAATTTGAAGGGAATCGCATAAAAAAATTGATGTGGTATAGTTTTCGGTACTCATGCGCCTATTCCTCCTGGATTATTTTGCATTGCGGTACGTATGCCTCGCCCACTCCCGTTGGTTAAATTCGCGAATATGTTAAACTTATCCAAAATAAAAATTTATGCTGACGAAAGCCACTTGAAACTACAATGGGTATTTCCGAAAAAAAAACCACAAAAACAATAACTGGCTAATCCTAACCTATAAAATAAAGCTTTGAAAACGATTATCTATCATAAAATCAAACAACCATTAAGATTGCTTAGCACGTTCCTAAGATAATGAACGCGGGATAATTCCAAAAACCGAAAAGAATGGAAAAAAGCTGTTTCCACCGAAAAGTTCACTATGCACGCGCACTATTGAGATTAGTTACCTGAAACGACTGAAGCGAGGGAGACAAATAAAATATCGTCTAGAATAATGTTACCAGAGCAAAAAATATTGTCTACTTAAGTCGTAATTTGTAAATATCGGTATTCCCCCATTTTCGTAATTACCCCAAAGCACCTTACAATAATATTGTAACATTATATACAATCTTTGTACTTAAAAATTGGGGTTTATGGACATAAAACGTAATGCTACTGCATTGTATTTTGACTTACAATGTTGTTGCGCGGATAATTACGTTAGTTTTTATCATGTTATGACAAGTTAAGACGAATTGCGATGTTGTCGTCTGGCAATTTACTCGCGCTCATAGAAGTTTAGTGTTGTTGTGTGGTTTAGTATAAAGAAGTGAGAAGTGTACATGGTGACTATTTTGACTTTATAGAGTAAAACCATAATAAATTGAAGCGTCCAATATTTTAAATTTGGCATTATCATTAAGTGGAATTTCAACTGGTAAGTTGTATTTTAATGTAAATGGTCAGCGTTTGCAATAATTACGTATTGGCAAGCGCATCGGAGTTCAGTCAGTTCAAATTAAGGATGTACCGACTTAAAGTTGTACCGAGTAACCGAATACAGAGTTTTACTCGGATTTGTTATTTATTACCGAGTCAAGTACTTTGTGGAGTTACTCGGTTCAGGTTTATGCAAGTATGGCGCGAAAACACGTTTATACGAGATCGCTTATGCATTTGTATTCCGCTCCGACGCTCCTCACCAGATGTAAATGCCTGCTAAGGTGAACTTTGTTATAATCGGTACTTAACATTTTAGATTAAGAGAAAGCTTCGACTTCCTCCAAGGCTCAAGGATCATGATACTCAGAAAATTAATTTACTACAAGATAATAGCTATTTTCTCGAACTCGGTGAAGACTTGCTTTCATTCAAAAATACTATACGGGAAATGCGCTGGTAAATTAGTATCCAGATTCCTCCTCCTCATCTAGTAGAAAAGAATCATTTTCTCCTGACGTTTTGGAATATATCCCTTCCGACCAGGATATTCCTTTACAAGAGATACCAACAGCTACAAACATAACATGTAATAACGTGAAAATATTACCACCCCTAAAGGGACAGCAAGAAAAGTGAAAAGGACTGTTCCGAAGAAAACTTCAGGGTAGAAAACGAGATCATAATCGAGAAAACTGGAAACGCTACTCAATTAACGAAAGAAAAATTCGGGCTAAGAATATGTAAACAGAAGCGGAGTTTTAGTCCCAAAGAAAGCTATGAAGAGTGGCTATAATAATGCCTGTACTAGAAAGTGCAAAGAAAGATTAATGGAAACGACAAGACATGCAATTTTTAAAGATTTTTATGGTTTGGGCGACCAATTAAGATAAACTGATTTTGTTTGTAGATTTGTAGAGTTCCACGAAAACAAATAACAGCATCACTTATTGGACAGTCAAGGTGCCACTGGTCCTTTCAATATTTTTATATGAAGATGGCGACAGAAAAAGGGTCTGAAAAAGTATTTCTTGATACTCTGCGTATAAGTGATATGTGGCTACAAACTATTTACAAGAAAATGGACAGAGGAGACACTGGGCTTATAGCAGAAGATTTGAGGGGGTGACATAATAATCGGAAAAATGTGACACCAAATGAAGTTCTAGAATCTGTTAGAAATCACATTTCGTTAATTACTATAGTGGATTCACATTATGTAAGAAATAGAAATTCCAAACTGTACTTTGAAGAAACTTTAGAAGAAGATTTTTTTATGTTTAAAGAATTAATAGTTTTATACAGTCAAAGTTTGGTTTTCGGAAGAGAAATTGATTTTTATGATTAAAAAAATACTTAAGTGTCATAATTATAAGTCAGATAGTAATGCTTGTATCCAGTGAACTTTTCTAATTTGATGTCAATAAATATATTAATAATACGAAATTGCTTTTTTATCCTTCAAAACATTGTCATAATAAATCGTAAGAAAATAGATTTATTACACGTCACATTATGAGATGATTCTTTACAGATTCATTGTTGTTGCATGAAAAATACTTAAATTTTACTGTGAAGAATCGTTTTAGGTAACATAACACCTTGGAGTTACAATTATCTGAAAACAAAAATAAAATTAACTTACAAAAAACTAATTGTATCTCAACAATACAATGCTTGTCCTCGTAACTTATGACATTTCAATGTACGAGGGTCACGCTGAAATGATCGGGAATAGAATATTTTGGATTGAGTTACAATAAAACTTTTTTTAGAATTTGAACACTGGCCTCTTAGAATCTTAATGACATTTAAACAGTTAAAAGAAAATGTTTAAAAACACAGACTTTGTTGGTGTAAAGTTGACACGTCGTTAACAGAAATGGAGCTCACGCGTGAACATTTCCGTGCCATAATTTATCACAATTTTCGTCGCGGCTTATCTCAAGATAAATGTCTCAGCGAACTTGTTTCGATTTATGATGTTGAAGCACCGAGTCAAATGACAATATACCGCTGGTATGCCGAGTTCCGACGCAGTCGTGTGTCGCTCAGCACTGTTTCTTCTGCAGGTCGACCAAGAACAGCGGTCATGTCTGAAAACATCGCAGCTGTGCGAACTATTATATTAGATGACCGCCATGTGACATACGAGCAGATTCGGGCTGTTATTAGTGCAGACGGGCTCGTGCAGATTGGTTCCGGAATACTCTGCAACGCTTCAACGGAGGGAAGTCAAATGCCGTTTATAATATCGTCTCAGGTGACGAATCATGGATTTATTCATACGAACCTGAAAGAAAACATCAGTCAGCAGTTTGGGTCTTCGAAGATAAGGTCAAACCAACGAAAGTGATTCGCTCCCGTAGCGTGTCAAAGAAAATGGTCGCTACGTTTGTCTCGAAAAAGGGGCATGTTGCTACAATTCCTTTACAGGAACGCAGAACGGTTACCGCGGAGTGGTATATCACGGTTTGTTTGCCAGAAATGATAGCTGAACTCCGAAAAAATAACCCGAAACGTCGCATTATCTTACATCACGATAATGCGAGCTCCCATACGGCTCGGAATACAAATGATTATTTTGAAGCAGGAAAACGTTGAGCTGATGAGCCATCCTCCGTACAGTCCTGACCTGAGCCCAAACAATTTCTTTACATTCCCTAGAATGAAAGATTTATTACGCGGTCAACGGTTTGAAGACCCCGAAGCAGCTGTGGAAGCGTACAAATCAGCCATTTTGTCAACATCAACTTCAGACTGGAATTACTGTTTTAATGATTGGTTTGCACGAATGGAAAAGTGCATTAAGTTGAACGGAGAATACTTCGAAAAACAATAAAATACAATTTAGCTATACCGTGCATGTGGTTTTTCTTATTCCCGATCATTTCAGTGTGCCCCTCGTATGGTTTTTCACGTAAGTCATGGAAAACCATGAAATAAACTTTTCTTTTACAACCTAACCGTACATAAAAAGAGTAAATAATATTACATAGTGACAGCTTCAAAGATTGTACGGGTCGTTTAGAACGTGGTACATTTTTTAAACTTTAAATTCTGTCTCATCTACAAACATAAAAAATTAGTTACGATTTTATTGCATGGAGGTGTCGATTTATACCCTCATATACCTGAGGGTATAAATATGAAATTTTATCTGGATAACTTCTTATGTAATCTTCAGTCATAGACGACGGGAATAACTGACTCAACAATGTTGAAAAAAAATCGAACACCTTGCGGTGATTAAATTCCTAACTAAACAAGGAAAAACTAAAAAAAAACATCCATGAAGAAATGGTGGCAATATCAACCGTACAGAAGAGGTCAAGTGAATTCAGAGGCAGGGAAAGCATGAAGATACCCCCGTCCGGTTAGGCCAATGATAGCGGCTACAGAAGAAAATGTGAAAATTATTGAAAAGCTTGTATTAGAAGATCCACGAGTCAGAATTAGCGGAAATGTCTATACACATTACATGACTATATTAACCTCACATAAGTCAGTGCAAGATTGGTGCCGCGAGTAAAGCACCCGAAACATTCGGAATTAAAAAGTTAACTTTAACGCGATGAAATCAGTAAAAATTAGTTTCATTTGATGTCTAGTCTACGCGTAAATATTAGAAATCATTGTGTGAACCAGAAAAGCTTTTTAACGAAAGTAAATGTATTGATGTCATGTGAGACATTGGAGCAATGACGTCGGCCGAAAGGGGCTCCCTAATAACCATTGTGATCTGTAAGAGCCCTGTAGGAATATTTGTCCCTTCCATGATAATTTTTGCGTGGAAAAATATGTTTGATGCTATAATGTGAGAGGCCGTAAGGCCTGCAACATCAGCAATAATTTCAAGTTCCCCTTACAACTTACAGCTTTTTCAATTGTATTCTTTCAAGGTACAAGAAGTTACAAGGAGTTAAAAAAGGCTAATAAAGAGAACAGGGCACAGAAAATAACAACAAAGGAAATGGCAAGAAGAAGATAACAAAAAAGACTAACGGGAGATATAGTATGACAGAAAATGAATCGTCAGATTTTGTTGCTGCTATCTCTGTACATAACAGACTCGTCCGATGATGTGGCAACGATAAATGAGGCCGCAGCCCATACTGAGAAAGATGCTGATAGGGGTTTAGTACTAGGGTGCGGATAATTTGGAATACAAAATTCAAAATTACCCGCACCGTATAAATAATATGACGCTTCTGGTGATTTTCTTTGATAGACATTTTGAGATGGTTCCCAGTTTTTATTTTGTTTGATTGTTTATATTATTAAAGTTAAAGAATTTTCCAATAATTTTATGCATTTTTATTGGGCTAACACGTTTCCTTTTCTATTTATTCTAAAAAAAACAAACTGATATTCCAATTATACTGCAGTTCCTCTATTGTAATAAAAGAGTAGAAATAATCATTTACTATAAATATTATTTTTTATTGAACAGCATGGAAGAATTTATATTATGTGTCATTAAATTAACTCTTATAAATAAATACATCTTGTAAATCAAAAGTAAAATCCTAAGAACTACAACACTTTACTTAAATTAAGTTTTACTGGTAGATCACTTTCAGTTTCAATTTTTACTTCCTCAGCAAAAGTCTTTTTTAATAACATATCAATCGCAGCTTCCTCTGAAAACAAAAAAATAAATAATTTGACTAAAATGTAAATATGTGTGGGAACTCAGGGTACCATGTATTTATGTCACTGGTGTACTACTGTTTATATTTATTAGATTTATGAGACAACATGAATTTGACAAAAGAAAATTCTACTGAACTCACCGGTGATTTGTATAGCCAATAATTGATGCACAATATGTCTTGCTGTAATCTTAAATAAATCTCTATTGCTAATTTTCTTTTTCTTATAATATGGCATGAGCAATTTAACGACAAGTCCAGCAACGTCAACTTTTTCCGATTTCTTTGTTTCTCTCTCACGTTTCGAACTTTTGTGTCTTTGAGTATCTTTTTTATGCTTTTCTTTTGTGTCCTCTTCTTGTTTCGGTTTTACGGCATGCTTTACCTTAACTTCTTTATTGCGATTTAATTTATGTTTGTCCTTATATTTATCCTTTGGTTTATGCTTCGTTTTAGGCGGTGAATTCGGCTCATTAGTTTGGGTGTCCGTAGCTTCTGTAGCAATTGTACAAGCTTCGGGTTCCGGTGGCATTTCAGAGAATTGTTTCAATTCTTCTAGCACTTTATCTGCTTCAATACTAAGCTTATGCGCTTTGACAAAGGTTGTGTCTTCCTCGACATGCACACCAAGAGTATCTCTATTGGTTTGTTCTATATCAGATCTTGTTAGTGCCTCTTCATCAGCGCCACTTGAACTTGCAAGATTATCTAAATTCAACTGATCATTTTTACTACCAAGTTCTGGTTTCTTTTCACTACAATCCATCATTACTTTTGTATCACTATGAGTTTCAGTATGTTCATCAATAACTAGCTCTTTCTCAGAACCGCTATTGGATAAATCCCCGAATAGAGCAGCATCGTTAAAGTTCGATGTATTTTCAATTTTAGTTTTATCAGAGCTCAATTTACGCTTTTTCTCTTTTGAGCTTTCATAGTTCTTGTCCTTATATTTAGACTTGCACTTATCAACAATTTCAATATCTACTTCACTGTCTGAAGATTCACCGAATAGGGCTTTAATTTTTCTTTTAGCTGTGGGTTTAATTTTATCTGGTGATTTGGATTCTTTTTGAGTAATATCTGCTTCAGTATTTTCTATTTCTGACTTAGAATCAGTCTTGTTTCGAGTGATATTAGTGGGTATTCCTTGCAGTGTTATATTTATAACAAGGGTTTTTGTAGAGTTTTTCGGGTTGTATTTGTTTTCATTTTCTGTTACATTTTTCTCAATATCATCGTCAGCACAATTTGTCAAAGCATCTGCATCTTCAAGTTTAAGTGTTGTATCATCATGGCTACTTTTAGGATGTTCGTCTATAACTAAAGTAGTCTCATCTTCACTGACGTCTGACGGCGATCTCGGTGATTCGTTTGAAGTTTGTTTTGTAAAAAAATTAAGTTTAGTTTGCGTCAACGGATCTCGTTTGAATGAACTTGCTTTTCTTTTAATCTGTTTGTCTGACTTAGACATTAGCCTAGCATCACTTTTTCCTTCCATGTTTGCTACAAAAAATATTTTCATAACTTTAAATTTTAGATTATTGTGGAAGTGACGATAAAATAACTTTGTTTGTTTTAAGAAAAAAAAATAGAATTATTTAATAAAAATAGAAATAAAATTCCAAGATTATATTATATGAATCTATATATCTATATCTATATATTATATGATCAGCCATCAATACTACAAAGTATTGGGGTGTAAGGATATACACCAAATTTTCTCAGTGCCACAACCTCAACTACACATGATGCACCTTACAACTTGCTAGGTAACAAGGTGAGGTCAATGACAACGATGGCAAGAAATCTTACTGAAAATAAGGCTGAACCCAAAATAACTCAGACTAAATATGGAGACAAACATTAGTTCGGAGGTTAGAAGCAAATCTTTTATAGCATGCGTTCATTTGGTGCATTCTTACCCAGGAGTAGTTCCCAGTTTGAAAAGGTATGTAATAAATTACAGTAATATGTCCATAACTCACCACTTTCTAGTTGTGTTGCAGTCACAAATCCATACTGAGCTTGTTTTTTAGCTTCGAAATCTCGAACAAAGTCACCAAGTGTCTCTCCCATTCGCGGCTCAAATGTTTTTAATCGAGGAAACAAGTGTTCCGTGCTTGCTTTTACTGATGTTATCTAAATATATAAAATATAAAAATATAAAAGCGTATCATTCAGTTTTGTAAAACAAAAACACATTAAATTTTCATTCTAGTTATTGTAATCTATCATATCTTAGTTTAATAAAGTATGCATCACCATTGCACCACATTATCATATGAATCAATATAGAAAATTTAATTTAAATCTCCACTTAGTTCCTATAAGAATCAACAAGATATGCGGTAGAGCATGTTGCAGCTATATTATGGTTGTAGCACGAATGGATCGACTCGACTGGGCAAGGACCACGATCTCACAGAATACCGTTATCGGTACAGCTTACAGCCCATTAAAGTCCACTGCTGAACATAGCCCTCCCTCATAGATTGCCTCATAGTTGCCATAGTTGCCACGCTTGGCAAGCGGGTTGGCAACTGCAGTTTTTTAATTTTAATCATTATTAGGAAGACGCTGCTGCCCATTTCCTGATTCGTTTCCCTCTGTCGCCTCTTACGACACCCACGGGATGATATGGGGTCATGGATATTTTTACACCGCCACTACACGCCTCTCACAGAATACCAGCGTAAAATAGGAGCTTAATCGTGCTGTGCAGGGTGATGCAACTTTGTATGGAAGCTGAGAAATCTGCACACAATCATGATTTTGTCAATGTTTATGTTGGGCTTGTAAAAATAAAGCGAGAAAGAAAATATCGCTGTTTCTTTCCTTCGTGTTGTTTTAGATTGTTACTTTAAAAAGTATATACAAAAATTCATATTATATCGGAAGAAACTAAAAATGTTAATACTGTATTATAAACTTTTTTTGGTTTGCTCCTTAAAGTATAATTACATACATATTACTCTGAGAATTGCACAAATAATTTACCTATTAATTAATTAAAATTAAATTATTAAATACTTATAGCTCGCCAGGCAGACGTTGTTCAGCCGATACCGACGACCCTCTGTCCTATTAAAAAATCCTTAAATTCGCAATAAAAATTTTGAGGGTGATTTATCGGGATAAAAACTATCCTATCTCTCAAATGGGTCCAAAATGCACACAGTGTGCTAAATTTCATTGAAATCAGTTCAGTAGTTTAGGAGTCCATCGCGGACAAACAAGTGTCACGTTGTTTGTATAATTTTTATATATAAAGAAGAAGATTAGCAGAATTCTATCAAACGAAGCCATGAATTAATAGAAGAAAAAAATGACATTTGTTTGTCAACGTCTTTCATATTGAAAATATTATCTGAAATTTATTTCATAGGTTTAGATTTTAATATTAATTTTTGATTTTTACTTAAATTCAGTTATTATGGGCTCAAAATACTTCATTTTCCTTTGTAGGAAAATACAGTCATAATATAGTCCTGAATATATAGGAAAGATTTTTTGTGAGATATTAACTCTGTATAAGATATTGACTATAAATGAATTCATTATTTCAGAATTTTATGCACAATGTGTGATCATCATCGAAAGTAAGTTAAGTGTTGTGCAAATAAAAATCACAAAATCATCTGATAACTTTCTGCAGGTTTCCTATAATAGGAAAAGAAAAACTTAGGGACAATATTGTGGTAAGTCTATAAACATTTTGAATGTATTGACCGTCATTTGTAGGGATTATTACTATATTGACTCGAATTGTATCTGTTTCAGATCATGTATTTGGGCTGAGTTAAGTTTCACCATGAGAATTTTGCTGATTTATTTTTACATTTATGTTCTATGAAGAATAACTCTCTGACTATAACATGTGTTACGTGGGTGACACTGAAAGTTCTTAGAAAATCAAAAACTGAACAAACTAACATGTAATCAGTTTTATTATATATTTTCAAAATAGTGTCCATTTACATCAATACATCGCTGCATCCGATCAAACCACTGAGAAAAGCACTTTGCCCACTCATGCTAAGGCAAAAAGCACTTTGCCCACTCATGCTCTTCGACGGCATTTGAAACGCAGCCACTGCTTCCTCGGCGTCCTTAAAACGTTTTCCTCGAAGTTTTTCTTTTATTTTCGGAAATAAATAAAAATGGCAAGGTGCGAGGTCGGGGCTATATTGCGGGTGACCCAGTAATTCCACGTCTGACGTCGTCAAGTAGTCGATTGTTTGCTTCGCGGTGGGCGACGAGGCGTTATCGTGGTGAAGGAGGATCCTACTGCGAGGCCGTTTGTCCCGAACTTTTTCCAAGACAAGTGGCAAACAATTGTTAGTGTATCACTCTGCAGTAACTGTTTTTCGATCCTCTAAAACAATTGTTGCGTAATGACCTGTCCTTCCGAACAACGAATTTTTACGTGGTAGAGCCATGCTGCTGCTATATAACTGGTATAGTTGTAGCATGAATAGGTGGGGGCTCGACCGGGGAAGGACAACGCTCTCACAGAATACGAGCGTAAAATAGCAGCGTAACACTGCTGTTTCGTATGGTGAGTGTAGAGAACCGGAGACCCTTTTTAGTGGAAATGAGGCATTCCATCTTAGTCCTCACGGGTGACGACGCATCTGCATTTTGATTCGTAATCGAGGATAGATGTAGATAGTCTATGTGCCACAGCAACTACTTACCATCAGGTGGATTGTGTGCTCGTTTGTCACTCTTATCCTATTATATAAAAATATATTATATAAAAAAAAGAACGACGCCACCTTTCTCTATCTTTTTTCCCACGCTTCGACCTCTTTTCACTTTAGTTGGCAGCTCCTCGGATGGAAATACCTAGACAGCAGACTGTCTCTTAGTTTCAGGATCATAACAATAAATCCAGATTTCGTCACCCGTAAGTATGTCGAACACAGCATTTGAGTCACCTCCGTTAAATCTTTGAACCATTTCACGACACCAATCAATACGATGGAGTTTTTGGGCCTCTGTCAAATTATGAGGTATCCCACCGGGCACAAAGCTTCCTGACCGCTAAATATTCATGGAGGATTCTGTGCACTTGACTCATACCGATGCCTAAGCTTGTCCGAATCTGCTGATAAGTCACTCTTATGTCAGTCTCAATTATACGCCGCATAACACTGATGTAATCTTCAGTCGTCGCTGTAGAAGGCCGTCCCTCACGCCGATCATCGGTGAGCTTAGTGCGACTACGTTTAAACTAATTAAACCAGTTGTAAACAGTGGCACGAGATGGAGCTTCATCGTGAAAGGGCAATCGAAGTCTATCAGAACTTTCTTGTTGACTTAAATGACATCGAAAGTCATAAAAAACATTGTATTGTAACATTGTTGTGGGGTTCCACAAGGTAGCGTACTAGGGCCACTACTCTTTTTAATATATATAAACGATCTACCAAAAATAACGTCACACAAAATGGTTCTCTTTGCAGATGACAGTACAGCTATAATAAAGTGTGCAAATGAAATTAATTATGAATGTGATACAAATACCTGTTTACGCGAAATTATAGAGTGGCTTAATACGAATAATTTAAAAATAAATTTAAATAAAACAAAAGTTATGCACTTCCATCAACGCCGTGAAAACCCAAACATTAACATCTCCTACCAAGGCTTTAATATTGAAGAAGCAAATATGGCGAAGTTTTTAGGTATAGTGATTGATAATCATCTCACTTGGAAGCCTCATGTTGAGGATCTATGCAAACGACTCAGCAAATCCGCATATGCGCTTTCTCAACTTTCAAAAAAGGTTAACAGCCAGGCTCTTTTGATAGCATACCATGGACTAGTTGCTTCCGTTTTACGATATGGCATCATTTTCTGGGGACAGTGTTCTGATAGGGAGCTTGTATTTAGGATGCAAAAACGATGTGTAAGATCAATGTGTGGTCTCAAAGTAACAGATAGCTGTTTTCCTTATTTTAAATACTTAAAAATCCTAACACTGCCGTCATTGTATATACTGGAAACAGCTATTTTTGTAAAAAAGCATCCCTTTCTTTTCCAAAAAATATCTGATATTAGAAAGAATCCAATACGTACCCACTACATAAATAGGTTATGTTACATAAAATGTAAAACATCATTAATGAAAAAAAGCTTCTTTGGTATTGCCCCACAAATTTATAATAAACTACCAGATTCAATAAAAAATATGACCTTATATAAATTTAAAAAGGTGCTGAATGACTTATTAATAAACAAATGTTATTATAAAATTGATGAGTTCTTGAATGACAATTTTGACTAGTAATTTTTATTGAATATTATCATTTTTTTGTTATTGTAATCAATTTAATTTTATAAATGTAGAATTTTCATTAGTATGCCAATTTCAATTATTTCTATTCTATTTTATCTTATGGCATGATTTTTCAAAAGAACACTCAATCATATTTGTATGTCTTTAAGACAAAACATTTATTGTATTTGCACACCTCATAAGGTAATAATACAATGTACATATTATAATTTTCTGTAACACCTTTTATACATGTATTATGCAAATAAATGAATTTGAATTTGAAATTTGAAATTTACGAAAATTTTCTCGCGTTAAATTCATACTGACGTAAAAAAAAATTAATAAAATACATACACAATAATATTGGCAAAGAGTTTCATTTTCAATATTTGAACTTATTTTTTTATATTGTTTACAAGTGGCCAGTTCTAAGAACTTTCAGTGTCGCCCTCGTAAATATCAGTAACAAGCGTGGAAATATTATATGCAAAAGCAATAGAAATATCAATAATAACGTATAGTTTATAAAACAATCTGTCTTCCAGAAAATAAAATTACATAACTATGTATACTTATTTATAAATTTATATTATCCCAACTAATCTAAAGTATAGTCAAGTAATTTTAGTGCAACCTCTCAAATGTATGGGAATTTACCCCATAGGTTTGTGAGACTAGAGCCAAAATTACTCGAATATGCCATAAATAAAAGTTTAAAGTTACAGAATACAACGGTTTCCCGCGAAAAAAGTTTTATATGGGTGCCCACTGCGGCGTTAGAAGTATAAACGTATAGACGCGTCTTTCAGTTTTTTAGTTTGTAGATGGCGTTCTTTTCTAGGTAGAGAGTAAT